TTTTTGTTGTTTTGGATTGAGTTCTTACCTCGGGTTGTTCTCCGTAATCTTTGGGAGTGCAGTATCGTGCACACATAGGCATAGTCGTACAGTTCACCCAAAGACCTTGTCATAAATTTTTGTTTTCTAAGAGTCTATAATTTACCGTAAAATAACTTAATGTAGCGTTCTCCACAAACATAATGGTTTTAAACTGAGGAGCAATTTCTCTTTCTTATGCAATACAAGCTCAACCTTGAAAGCTGAGAGAGACATTCCAAAGAAATTGTTTAGCCATAAAAGGACTTTCTTTAAATTATTTTGCAAAACAAATCAAATGAAAACAGTGCAATATATTTTACTCAATAACCCACAGTTAGCTTCCCGGAATGACATTGTTTTGTCGCATGGCCTAACTAACATTTCATTAAGTGAGCATATAATCAATAACTTTCAATGCTTGTGCGCTTTGCAATTAAAACGAATATTGAACAATTATAGAAACCGAAAAACTGCAACCGTTTATTGTCACCGAGAGGGCACATACAATAATCTCCTTGTTTTACAGGAGTCTGCCCCTTTATTTATTTCAATTCTAAACTATATTGTTTCTTGAACAAAATCCAAAAGAAAAAATCATTCAAAACTAATATAAAGCCTTGCAACAAGTTTCTCGTCTCCAATTGAAAACTTAAATCATTATTTTACGACATAGCCCAAACTTGAAAACCATTGTTGAAAAATTAAACGAAAAAAGAAATATGCTGAAAATCAACGAAAAGCTTTCAAAAGGAAGCAAACTAAACTGACCGCCCAGAGGGTCCCCATAATACAAGTTGTCCGTTTTAATTCAAAGTCTTTGTATAAGGTTTAAACCTGTTTAATTTTTCGTTTACCTTGTCAATTGAATTTACTTTAATTTATTTGAAATTAAATTTATTGAGTTGCTAGCATATTTATTCTGATAACGTTAGGTTAGTAGGCCAGATAAAGTTGCTCATAACAATTCTTCCGTTAAGCCAGAATTTTTGGCGAGTTGGTTACACTGTGCTAATTTCTTACCTCAGGTTTCGCTCTCAGGGGTTGTCTGACGCTCAGTGTAGTCACTTGTTGTACAATGGCGGCCGACCCGCCTTCGCTTACCGCGAACGTTGCCCCGCCAGCAATGGCGTTCGATCTTGCCGATAAGATCAACCGTCTCACGCTAGCTAGAAACAAGCTTCAAAAAGAGTTAGATATAAACTATGAATGCACACTTGAGTCCATTGAAAGAAAAGACCGCACTGTTAAAATCAAAAAATGGCTTCAAAGTTGTAAAAAATGCTCGGAAAAAGCCGTCTCCGAAAATGAAGAAATACTCTTCTTAACCTCACGAGAATCCTTGGAACATTGGTTATAGCTTTTAACACACAAAAACGATGAAATCCATCCTAAAACCCGACACTAACTTCACACCAAACAGACCCTTATCCACTTTGAAAGTGTTCTATCAGAAAGCTCTGCATTCAAATCACTCATAAGCTTTTAAGTATTTGTCTGAGTCAGTGACTTCTAGCCAAAGAAGTCGAGAGTTGAAACTTGCAAAAGTTAGGTTAAGAAATAGAGCGAAACAACAAAGCTAAACTTCGCTTGAAACAGCAGAAAAAACTATTAGAACTAGAAGAATTGGCCGAACAAAATCGAGGCCGAAATAAATCGGCCGAAGCTACCTTCACGGAAATTGCGATTCTTGAAGACATGAAAGAGAAGTCAAGTTCGACAAACTTGCGCGAGGAAAGTCTTGCCGGAAGTAAAAGGACAGAAAACTGGGTGAACAAAACAACCGAAGCAATTCAGTCTGCACATAAAACCGAAGTTATGTAAATAGGATGAAGATACACTAAAATCAAAAACCCTTTTCAACCTTAATCTGAAAATAAATATAATATAAAATAACACTCAATACAATCCGAATCTTCCGCAAACGTCCAATAAATCTACTGTGCTACCCGTTGGTTTCATTCAAACCGCGCAAGCTAGCCAGAGTCAAACTCTGGTTCAACCGTTCTCTAAACTCAAAATTAGAAACGTGCCAAACTCGACTTTCGATTATACGAATTCGAACTTTCCATTAACCACTGGTGGAACCGTCTTCTACCAGCCGGAGTCTGAGTATCAATATACGGATCCCCAAGATGATGGGTTCATTTTTTGTACTTTTAATGACACCAATCGCGTTGATCGAAACAAACCACCCTACACGCCAATAAACGAAAAAAAAATCTCTAACTATGGAAGACCTCGCTGAGATTTTTACCATGAATCTAAAAGATCCGCTACCAGAATGGAAATTGTCTCAATACAACGGTGATCGTATACATAGACATTAATGGTTCGGCCAGTTTGCAAGCGCTGTCGACTCCGCCCGTTTGAGTGATGACGTCAAGTTGACATTCTTGAAATTTCTTGTGACTGGGAAAGCCAAAAACGCCATCGTTGAGTTTGCGTATTTCGGCGTTATGTAAAAAGATGCCTTGAAGACTCTTATGCGAAAAACTTCCCAGCCACAAACGGTACTTAAGGCTCATCTCGACAAACTGAATTGTTTCCCACCATTGAAGATGCATAATTCCGACAGCCTTATAAGTTTTGCTCCTACCATCTCAAATCTTGTTGGTGTGTTTAAATCACTCTCCTATACCCAGGATTTGGATGGTGTTGCTTTGTTGAACAAACTTTAGGTAAACCACCACCCAATATGAAGGAATCATGGGCTCTTTACATAGTGAAAAGGAGTCTTTACCAACAATTTTTGCTCCATTTCACTGACTGGCTTGCAGAAAAAGCAGAGGCGCATGAGTGAATGCGCGTTAACCCTCCCAAGAATCGAAGTCAGGAAAATCATGCCAATGCTGGCCCTTCTAAAACAGTAATAAAAAATTTGTCATCATATTTGAAACTTTCCGACAAAAAGCCCAATCAATAGTATTCACCCTGCCTTGTTTGCGACGGCAAACATGACATTTGGTCCTGTAGCGTCTACAAATAGAAAACTCTTACTCAAAGAGCAAAGTTTGCTGCAGAGCAGAAGTGTCTTTTTCCTGTCTGCAATCTGACCATACTTTTCGAAAATGCCCAAAATCTACAATGTGCAACAAGCCTGACTGCAACAGCCCTCACAATGCGCTCCTTCACTGAGTCGAAAGAATATACCCCGCAAAAGACTCAACAAAGTCACCAGTTGAAGCAAAAATCTCTTCGCATTCCGCTAGTCTGAAAGTGGAAACAGTTGAAGGTACTTGCGCCACTTCCGTTTGCCGTGTTAAAGGTCTGCTTCAAATCGTTGAATTGAAATTCTTTAGCAACATATTTAGATCTAATACTCTAATTGTTGTTTGTTTCAGCTTGCAGTCACTCACGGATTTCCGCTCAACTTGCTGAAAATCTTAAATTTACCGGTAAAAATTTGAACTCACAGTCAGTGGAAAAAAATCAAAACAAGTTTCAACGACCGAACAAGTAAAAATAGTAATTCTCTTATAGAGCAAGTCAAAAAAATGGTATGAACTTGAGTCCTACGGTACTTATAAATCAGCCGATCCGCGTTCAGTATCAGACAAGCAAGCTCTAAAAACGCTTGAATAGACTATTTCGCATGGCGGAACTCGATACTCCGTTGGTATGCGTTGGATCAATAAGGATGTCAAGTTGCCAAACAACTACTACTCCTTGTTTGCCCAGCTCAAGTGTTTGGAAAAGCGGCTCAAAAAAGATCCTGACCTGAAAAAACTTTACGGTAAAACTATTCAGAACGGTTTGAAAGTGTGGTAAATCGTTCCTATTGAAGACAATGAGTTGAACACGCGCACCGAAAGCGAGTGGTATTTACCCCACCATCTAGTGGTTAACCCGAATAAACTTGGATAGGTGAGGCGAGTTTTAAACGGCGCTTCGAAATTTCATGATGTATCCTTGAACCAGTCACTTTTGGTAGTGCCTGATTTGTTGCAGAACTTGTTGAGAGTGCTACTCCGGTTCAAACAACATAAGTTTGCAGTATCAGCAGACATTGAAGGAATATTCCTTCACATAGGGGTCATTTCAGCTGAACAGCCGTCGTTGCGTTTTTTGTGGCGGGAAGACCTCACAAGTGAGGTAAACGTTTTTCAATACACTCGTCACATCTTCGGTGCTCGTGACTCCCCCACTTGTGCAAATTTTGCGCTCCGACAAACCGCGAGAGATAATTACGCCAAATTTTCAGCTGCTTTTTCTGCTGTCCTAGATAAATTTTATATGGATGATTTCTTAGGTTCTATCGCTGACTCGAATGAGGCGCTAAACCTGAGCAAAGAATTGTTGAGGTTAGGAGGTTTTAAGTTAACTAAGTTTGTCAAAAATACCCAGATTTAGCCAAAAAATTAAATCCAGAGAACAGCAAGATTAACTCTGTGAAAGAAATCAACCTAAACGACACCGCAACGCACGTATTAGGTCTAAAATGGGATAATGATAATGATACTTTAAACGTTAGTCGTGGCGTGAACAAAGATATAACAAAACCGATTACTCAGCGCACCAACTTAAGTTACGTCTCCTTGGTTTTCAACCTAAACGGTTTGGTCGCACCGTACACAGCTCGTGTCCGGCTTTTACTGAAGGATATTTGGCGTATTTCGGACCAGCAGTGGGATGAACCATAATCAGGTGAACTTCAATAAAAGTTCATAGTTTGGCATACTGGTTTACCAATACTTGGCCGACTAAAGATTTCTCGCTGGTTCTTCGACATCCCGGTTGACCAAATAGTGCTGCATATATTTGGTGACAGTTTTCAGGTTGTACTTTGCTCGGTTGCTTTCCTGCGCGGTCGCTCCGTCGTCAAAAATGAAACCAAAATTGCTTTTGTTTTCGGATAAGCTAGAGTAGTACCGATGAAAACTTTTTCAATCCTTGAGCTTGAATCGCAAGCAGCGTTCTTGGCGAGCCGTCTGAGACTTGAAATCAAGAAATCTTTGAGAAGAAAAATCGTGAAGTCATACATGTGGACAGATAGCACGACTGCACTGCAGTGTTTGAACTCTACCAGCAAGTTGCCTGTCTTTGTGGCTAATCGGGTTTCCGAAATTCTCGAATCCACCACAATTGATGAGTGGTTCCATGTGTCCAGTGGCGACAATCCAGAAGATACCGGCACTCGTGGAATAACTGCTGAGGCTCTGAAAAAAAGCGTTTGGGTGAAAGGTCCATTTTTTCTGAAAACCAAAGACTGGCCTTTTAAACCTACGTCAGACGTTCTCACCAGCATTCAGCTCAAAGGACCTTAACATGATATGAATGAAGTTATTAAAAAAGCTGCAATTTTTACTTGCACATCAAAAACCACCGATCCAGTTTTTGTCTGGAAAAATTTTAGTTCTTTTCCGAAATTCTAAAAAATTGCCGCGTTCATGCTGAGGTTATCACCTCATCATCATCAAAATCGCAACTTCCGTTTGATTACCGAACCATTCGAATTTGAATAAGCTAAGCAAAATCTATTGGTTCTGGCTCAGTCAGAGTCGTTTCCTGTCGAAGTCAACGCACTTCACAAAAAACAGTCCCTTAAGAAGTGTAGCCGAATCGCTCCTTTTTCGCCATTCATCGGTCCCGGTGGTCTAGTCCGTTCCACTGGCCGTATTCGCTATCTCGTTGATGTTGAATTTAACGTTAAGCATCCCATCATTTGAGGTAGCCGACATCTACTCGTGATGATGCTTTTAACTTTCATTTACCAAAAGAATCATCACCAAAGTGTTGTTTTCCTGCGTGCTGTTATACAAATAGAGTACGTTGTATTGGGGCTCCGTACTGCCCTCCGTTCGATAGAACACCATTGCGTGTTATGCCGAAAACGAAAAGCTAAGGTAATTACGCCAATGATGGCTGACCTTCCGCTCGAGCGACTGGATTACCGACAACCGCCATTCGCGAACTGCGGAGTAGATTACTTCCGCCCGTTCCATGAAACGATTCGACGAAGCTCAGAGAAACTAGAGGTTGTTCCGTCAATGGATACAAGTTCCTGTGTAATGGAAATAGAACGCTTCATTGCTCGGCGGGGAACGCCTTCCGTCATCTGGTCGGACAATGTTATATTATGTAATCATTTCTTAAAGATTTTTTTGGGTCAGTTCTTAGCAAAAATGTTACATAAAACTAAGAAAAACATTTAACCTTAGGAACTAAAACTTGAACTAAATTAACTCTTGTTTCAGTTTTTGCTTAAATTTGTTTATTGGCCGTAGTTGATGAAGTTCCTTTCTGTTCAGCCTCAACTTATTGCATTAAGTTATGATATATTGAGTTGCTCACAAAAATGTTCAGTTGGAAGATAGTTGTTCAAATGCCCATATACCGCAGTTGATAAATAATCGTTAAAACTTATGAATGAAAAAGAATGGTTCGAATTGTGAGGAAAAAAGTTACCAATTATTCTGTAAACTTTGAATTCAAATGTTATTTTGAGTTTTTCCCGACCATCCTTATTGTCATAGGAATAAAAATATTTTTGTTATTTTTATCCGATAATTACAAAAAATGGCATGCGGACTAATAATGTGGTCTTCTTACTTAAACCTTGTGAAGTCCCTCGTTCGCCATTATATTCATCCTGATATGAGCTGGGGGGAGGCGGGATGAGCCGATATGTTTACTTGTTCGAATTGACATATGATTTAGTGTGATCTTGATGGCTACTTTCCTTCTCTCACTTCCAAATTTTTATAGTTGTAATAGTAACGAAATTGCTCAAAACGGCTAATTGCATTATGAGAACTAATTATAACGTGTAAGCTCTTTTTCTTTCACCCCCCCCCCCCCTCCCATGCCCCGTAATGCGACAACTCGCAATAAAAGACAACTTGCAATAAAAGACCACTCGAATTAAAAGGACAACTCGCAATGTACTCACCACCGCAGTCGGGCCAACCTGTTGCGAGCTTGCCTACAGAGGGTAGAACTTTAAACGAAATTTAGAGCCGGTTATCGCCGCGAAGCGGCGACCTTAAACCTTAAACCGATAATATAAAGTTTCCAATAGCTTCAAAAACTTGCGAGTTGTCGCTTTCCTTAAATTTTGCGAGTTGTCGTTTGTTGTGAGTTGTCTTTTCTTGCGAGTTGTCGCGGTATCCCATTGCCCACAGGCCAATTTTTGCAAGTAATTTTTGTTCACATTGTCCGAGTGGTATTTTTAAACGGGCTCTTTATCAATTTTATGGTGTAACGAGGGTTTTTACAAGGTGAAACATGAAGACAAAATATGTTTCCCATGGCCTAATTAGTTCGAATGCCAGTTTGCGTAACATTCGGATATCGCGAACAAATTTTCAAGGCTCTTTTTCCTCCCCCCCCCCCCCCCCAACTGCAAATTTTTATATTTGAAGTTACTGTTCACTTTGTCCGATTGTCGTGAATGTTAACATGCAGACTAATTAGGCCATAAAAACATATTTGGTCTTCATAATTAACCTTAAAAAAAACTACTCGTTAGGCCAATAAATTCATGTTTGAATGAGGTGGGGGGGGGGGGGGGGGGAAGGAAAAGAGCCAATTTAAGTAGTAAAATTTTGCAGTTGAGGGGAAGGAAAAAGAGCTTTTAATTGGACTTCTTAGGTCATGATAAACATATTTGGGCGGCTCTTTTTCCTTTTCCCCCCCACCTGCAAATTTTTATATTTGAAGTTTGTGTCCACTTTGTCCGATTGTCATGAAAATTGACATGCAGACTAATTAGGCCATGACAAACATATTTGATCTTCATAATTAACCTTGTAAAACCACTCGTTAGACCATAAAATTCATGTTTGAGTGAGGTGGGGGGAAAAGGAAAAAGAGCCATTTGGGCTTCTTAACTAGCCGAGTAAAGTCCCTCAATACACCTAAAATTGTTGCTTATATGGGGTAAGGGGGAGCTCTGACGTTGACTTATTACAATGTGAACTAATTAGACTATTTCAATCAAATTGTTGAGTATAACTATTTTTTACCGCTAAAAATGCTTGCTAATTTTGCCACTTTTTTTGTTTGAATTACTAGATTTCACTTCAATTTTATAAGTAAAGTTTTTCTCTGGTTTAAAAAGACAAAATGCTGAAGAAAACATTCAGCTCGATTTGTTTTGTAGTTATATTAATTCATTACTTTCTACCCAGTTTTGCGCAAGAGAAAAGCAGTTTCATGCAAAACCAACGATCTGTCATAAATGGCTACGATGCACCCCCTAGACTTTTCTATGTTCAGCTGAAAATGAGGATGATAATAAACGGCCAAAATAGAACTTCGATGTGTGGTGGAACATTGATTGATCCTAGATGGGTCTTAACCGCGTCTCATTGCCTCATTGATCCTGAAATTTTTGCCGTGTGGGTTCAAATTGGTGACTTCGCCGACTACAAGTCCACAAAAGTTAGTCTTTTGGGCCAAATTTTTCTTCATGAGGGGTTTCAGGATACTGAATACGAAGAAAATGGAACAATCATCAATGACGTTGCGCTCCTGAAACTAGAAAGGAGAGCTCCACGAAATTCGGAAGTTTTACCCCTTTGTACCAAGGACTACACTCAAAGTAGAAGTCCCCTCAAATTGGCAGGTATGGGAAGGATATACCAAGGTTCTAGAACTGCAAAGCCAAACCCAAGAGACTTGGAGCTGCAAGAGGTTGAACTCACTGAGACTACTGACTGCCCAAAACTATGGGAGAGTCATGCGCCTGTTGCCGAAATGGAAGTCTGTATGTTGGGCAATAACAAATCGGGCTGTTACGGCGACAGTGGGGGACCACTTTTCCCTGTGGATAAGGACGACAAAGCTATGTGTCTGTACGGCACAGTTAGTTATGGAAGCAAATTTTGTACAGGAGGAGTAAGTATTTTCATGAGGGTGCCATACTTCCTAGAATGGATAGAAAATACTATTCGGTTGAATAGTCTTTAAATAGTTCAATTATCATTAATGAAACAAGGAAACTAAAGCAAAAAAAAAAGATTTTTATCATTCATAATTTTCCTTATCTGCATATTTTTACAAGTAATTTTTTGTTCGCATTGTCCGATTGTTACAAAGCTGGCATGCCAACTGATTAGGCTATGAGAAACATGTTTAGTCTTCATACGCCACCTGGGAAACCCTCCGTTACACCATAAAATGTATGCTTGTGGGGTGGGGAAAAAGAAAATGAGCCCGCCCATAACCCCCATCGACCTCCCCCGCCCCCACTCAGAAGCCGCTACTGTGTGTGGTGTGAGCGTGGATGAGCGTCCATAAGAAACAGATAATCTGAAAACTTCCCTTATTGCCACCCAGGCGCGGATCTAGGAATTTCTCGAGGGGGGGGGGGCGGATTTTCAAAAAAAAAATTTGGAAATTTTGTCGACCTTTTTTTTAGGTCGACCAAATTGATTTTCTGAACTCTCCCAAACTCCTAAATTGATAAAATGTTGTGCGCCGCAGGCAAATTTTTGAAAAAAGGCAGAAAAAGCGTTTTTGGGCACTTTTTGGAAAAATTCGACCAAAAAACTGAGTTTTTTGGCGCGCGCTAAAACCTCAAAATTAGTAAAAATTGGCGCCCAAGGCGCCTTTAGAAAAATTTTAAGGTCAATCAGCCAAAAATGGACATCTCTAAAAAGTACAAAGGGGTACATTTTGGGCCGGCAGGGGGTCAAATCCCTGAGGAGGAGCGTCCACCCAACCCCCCCCCCCCCCTAGATCCGCTACTGTTGCCACCCGTAAAATTGCAAACTATATTGTACAACCAAAAATCATAAATTTTTCATAATGCTAAAAACTGAAGACATGTAAACTGCCGAATCATACAAGAGCATTTTTCCAGTTTTTTGTAGTTTTTTTCTGAAGCACAATTTAGGGGAGTTCAGAGTTACCCATTCATGTCTAATTTACCGTATGAACATTTTAAAAACATTAAGATCTACAAAAATGGTGGAGAAACGGAAAAAAACAACATGTCTAATAGTTTGATTGAATTTTGTTAAGCGAAGTTTTTATTTTGGAGAATTTTTTGTTTTGGTGTTTTTTAAAGTTTAAGTATCAGAATTTCAAAAATCATCAGTTCATTAATTTTTTGTCTGAAGTGTTAGTTGTTAACTTGTCTTAAATACTTTGCCAAATTTTTGAAGAATCTTAATTTCGGCTTTTCTAAGGTACCTAAGCGTCCAAATAATTTGAAGAGCCATCAGAAACTTGAAAATTTCTGATAACTCATCCAGTCCAACAGGCAACAGTTATATTTGCTTTTTTAAAATCTCTAGAAGCTCTTCGAGATTTTTTAAAAAATTTTCAAAATAAATATATTGAAGATTTTTCAGGGGACTCAAGAAATTATTTTGGGAAATATTCAGGCAAAAAAGTTATTTACCTGCCTGCATCTAACTTGTTTGGTTCTTTTTATGGTCTAAAGTTTTCGCTTTGATCTACTCATTTTGGTTTATACTTGAGACTTTGGTTTCCAGCTCAGCCAGTTCAAATGGTTTAATGCGATTAGAAAAAGAATCAAGAAAACAATGATTATTTTTGATTACGTTGACAGGTGACAAAAATACAAAATCGATGGACCTGTCAGTTCAATTTTTTAGATGGACCTGCCAGTTCAATTACAGAAGCTAAATTGTTTCTTGTGAAACATTATTATAGAAGAGGTAGTTCGAATCTGTCTGGAATCTGTTTTCACAGAAATCTATAACTTATTAGAGTTGAAGTTTTTTTGATGAAACTAGAAAAAGATTTTGATGAAAACTTTAGCTCAAAACTCTTTTTTGCCTAAATCAACTTTAAAATCCCGTAAATTTCTTGTACCTCAAATTGCTCAATATGTTCCTTGTCAATTTTCAAAATTGCCAAATTGTTGTTCCGACCCTTGAAAATGGGGAGGATCTTTGTATTCGGGTGTGTTTTAATTCTTTTTTTTCTTCTGTTTTCCACGCAAAATCAGGTATCACAAGTAACCATTCGACTGATTTGAGTGATATCATATTGAAGCTTTTTCATTGTGATTCGAACCGCATTTTTTCTAGATTCGAGAAAAACCGGTTTCAAATTTTTGGTTTTTTCGTCTAAATTTGAGCGAGAAAAGCCAGCGAAAACGCTTACTTATACTTATTTTAGGCCCTTTACAATAGCTTCATTACGCTTAATTTTATTTTTATTTGAGTAAAATTAGTAATGAGATTTACTGCATTTTTGTTTTTTTTTTATTTTTCTCTTCTTTTTTCTTCAAAATTTGTTGTACTATTTGCTTACATTACTATGATTGTCGAATATGCATAAATTATAATTATACATCAGGTCCATTTATTGCCCGACACATAAAAAAATACACTTATTGAAAAAAAGTATTTTGTAGTTTTTTAAAGACTATGGCCGGAACATTCTATGGTACTTCCACAGCAACCTGCTATCCTTGTTTTTTTTGCTTATATTTTGTGTTTAAAATCATTAAATCTATAAAAAATGGTGCCATTTTTAATCAGATCCGTTTTTTTGGCACAATAATTTCTTTTTGGTTCTCAAACTGGTTTCTAAGTTTTCTTAGATGAAAAAATTAAGCAGTTTTTGAGCGAAAAAGACCGCTTTAAGAAAGATCGCTTGAACAAAATTATAACTCCAGTTAAAATTCGGTTAGAGTGATCAAGTTTGACCTCAAAATCAAAATAAAAAACTGAAAGTTAGAATAAAGCTTAAAATTTTCTTAGCCTAAAAGCAATAGAGTCATTCGATTTTTTGTATAACCCTGTCGGTAATTTCCTTGCAGTATTGCGCAACTCTAAAAAATTTTCTCTTCATCAATCCTATCGAGATTATTTCGAGTTTTTAGAAGAGCATTATAATCTGAAAATTTTAGACACAGTTTCTTTTATTCAAACAAATGAAGCCCCCTAGCAAAAATCAACTTGTTGTTTTGTTCAGTCTTTGATTTTGAATTGATTGGTTTTTACCTGCCTGAAGATATTTCGGAATAACCGCTTCAGTTTTTGATTCAGAAACTCTTTTTTCATATTCTTTGTAGATGCGTTGGCCAAAATGTTATACTGTTGTGAAGGTTGCACGATGTTTTGTAGGTTTTTACAAAGTGCTTTGTCTAAAAAACTTAGCCTTAAAATTTCCGAAAAGCTATCTGATGTTCTTACCGAGAAAATTAACTTGTTCATCGAAGTTCAACTGTTTATCTGTGTGATATCTAAGATATGGAAAAAAGTTCTTTCGCTCAACTGGCTGATCATTTAAGTTGACAATGTGGGCGGTTATTTTTGATTAAAAATACTGTTTTTGTTTTATCTGAGTTCAAATGTTAAGTTTTTTTTTCAATCTGCTGTTTCTTTTAAAGCAGCCTGGTGTTCAGAAGGCATGTTTTTTATCTGTGTATTCTTTTTAAGATATTTTCGCCTGCGTATTGTTTAGACGTTGTGTTTTCCTGGTTTGAGTGATATCATTATTGAAAACTAAGAAAAGTCGTGGACCAAGAGTTAGTCCTTGAGAAACACCGAAGCGAAATTCTGATACTTTTGAATTCCCAAGTTTAGCGTCTTTATACTGCTTCAAACGACTCAAGTAAGACCTTATTAACTGACTAACTGTACCTATTGATCCATAGAACTTGATTTTTTAGACAGGAGTAAGTGATCTTCTGCATCAAATTCTTTTTTTTTCAAATCTGTGAGTGAGCATTGCGTCAGTTTCATTTGATCGTAAGTGTGTCTTATATTTTCGAATATTGAAACGGTTGCATCAGCTGTTCCTCGACATGATCCGAACCGAACTGATTCTTGTTGCGTAAGTCAGTTTTTTCGAAGTTTGATATCATGCCGTTATATTTAAGTCATTCACGAGCTTACGAATCATTGGCAGTAAGTTTATAGTTAAAAAAATGAAAGATTAGTCTAATTATCAATTTGAAATCAGTTTAGCCAGACTGGAATCAGATGGTAATCAGTTTAGCTAATTTAAGACAATCAAAAAAATGGCATGACCAATACGAAATTAAACTTTTTTGTATAATGAGATTAAGAAGAAAAAAATTCTTAAAAAATTGAATGTGTCAAAATTTTGAGCTCTTTTAAATTAAAAGCACCAAGAAGAATCAAGGTAAAGAGTGTTTCGATCTTACCTATTTGAAAAAAAAACAGACCGAGAATTTAAATCGCCCACTTGCCTTTTTTAGTGAGTGCTGCTATCATTTCGCAAGTGTGCACCTGTATCTCAGGGTCAAGCTGGGTCCTCAGACTTCTCACTAGCTGTCGAATACCCTTGGCCGCACCCTGGGCTGCCGACACGTCACAAAACAACTTTGATATTATCACCACCTGGGTAAAACACCGGGCGGATTACTAAGTGCGTTAAATTGCGTTGAAAGTTCCATACAAATTCAAAACCCAAAAAAGGCAAACAATCTGATCTATTAAAATTTTTTGGTTATTTTTTGCGACGTTTTTAAATTTTTGTAACTCTGAAATAGGCAGTCAAAATACTATTAAAAAAATCAAAAAGATTTGAAAGTTGTTTACAAAACATTGCCTAGTAAAAGATGAGACTGCTTCCTTATAACTTATTTCAGATAAGTTTTTGCGGTCATCTAACCTGGAAAGCTACTATAATTGAAGTTCGAGTGATCTTTTCGGTTATGAATGGCGCGAAGTCAGCAAAAGATAATTTCGGATCCTGTTCGGTAATCTGGTTCCATTTATGGAAGTAGAGTGCAGCTATAGCTTCTCCGACTCTGGGTAGGACTGAACTTGGATATTCGTTTGTTTCGTTTTTCTCTGACGTTAGTTTTGATCTTATTGATTCAATTATTTCAAGCCGCGATGTGTTTGTATATGTTTCCAAGTCGGGCACCCCTAAGAATACAACATACCACGCTCATAAGTTGTTTTTCTTTCCAAAAAAATCTAAAAGCTTGAAAAGGTCAGCGAATTTAAGTTTTTAAAGAAAACTGACAGAGTTAGATTAACATTTTTGCCAACGTTTACCATCAAATCAGAGCCTCGCATGTTTTGAAAACGTTTTTAGTTAAAATAAATCTGATAACTCGGGTCGAGGAGCTCGATTTAGGACTCAACTTTTTTGACCAAAAATCAGTATATCTTGACTTTCTCGACCATTTTTTAAAGTTTCGAGTTTCTCGACCAAAATTCGATATGTTTCGATTTTCTCAACCGGCATTTTTTAAAAATTGAAAGTTTGTTTGTTCGACGACGCATAGATACATTTCGACTTTCTCGACCAAAAATTGATATTTTTTGACTTTCTCGACCGACAATTTTTGAAAATTTGTTTTTTTTCGACCCCGCATAAGTGTTTCAAAACTTCCTCGACCAAATCGGGTATGTTTTGTCTGTCTCAACTTTCTCGACAAACAAAAAACGTTCTAAATTTTTATTTGATGGATGTTGCATTTCAAACGACGTGACTAGCTATGCTATGTGTAATGATTATCTGATCTCTAGATCCAAGATTGACGAACAAATATTTAAATAAATCAAAGATTGTTTTTAAAAATCCATTAAAGCTAACGCATTGTTCGTTTTACTTTGCTTGGCATTGATATGACTGTTTTAAAATGCTTGATAATGAAACGTATTAAAAATTTATAAGCTTTAAATCTCATGAAATCATGGATCCACGAATTTTATGGGTCAGTAGCATAAAAAAATTAGTTCTGTCTTAGATTAAGCAACAAAACAAACAAAATCTTTACTCTGATGAAACAGTTTTTAAGTTCATTTAAATATATTTTGCAAAAACAACTGGGGGAAACAAACGCGTAAAAACTGTTCAACCAAGCAGAGTTCTGTTTTCAAAAACTCAGGAAAAAAGAAGGCGAATTTAGTCAATTTTTAAAGTAAAAGGGCGTTGATTGATTGAGATTTTTCGCGCATTTGGTCTTTTGCCCATAAGAACACGTACCGAATTTTTTTTTATTTCTGACTCCAAATAATTTATATCTTAACTTTTAATTGCTTTTGTTTTTTGAGACCATGTGCAGGCCTTCTAGTGGCAGTCCTATATACTCCTTTATATGATCAGCAAATATGCTGTTCTAGCTAACTGCACTTCAAAAGAACATATATATTGAGTTGTTTTCCTAATTGAAACTATTTTACAGTTTTACAGTTCTTGGTGAAATTTTATTTGTGTTTGACTTTGTTTGGACCGATTTGACTTTATATTTTGACTTTGAGCTCACATGTGCTGAAATGTTGTGTTCGACTTTATGTTTCGACCTTGAGTTTGACTTTACGTTTCGCTTTTGTGTTCGCTTTTATGTTTCGACCAATTCGACTTTATGTTTTGAATATGTGTTTGACTTTGTTTCGACTTTGTTTTATTCTTTGTTTCGACTATGTGTTCGATTTTATATTTCGACGAATAGAAATAATGTTTCAAATAGGGCCTTCTGGACTTTTTTGTGTTTCTCAAAAGGTTTCTAAGTTTTGCTTATAATTCTTTAATGCAGTCAGTTTGTGGAATTGGTACTACAAATTTCACAAAATTTCTGAAAAACCATTTGAAATTTTTGCTCCAAGGTGAATCATATTGTATATCTTTTAAATATTTGTTTCAACAACATGACGAATGATATTTTAATGATGACTGAATGTTTCATTTGAAGGTTTTCTAGCTTTCAGTTTTTGTGGTGACGATTTTGTCGTTGTCCCAAAACTTCAGCTAATAACTTTTGGGACCAGGTGAAGGCATTTCTAGGTTCGTTTTTTGACTGTTCGCTATGTTTTGACTGTGCTCGACCTATGTTTTGACTGTGCTCGACCTACGTTTCGACTGTGCTCAACTATGTTTTGAATTTCTCGACCAAAATCGGGTATGTTTTGACTGTGCTCGGATTATGTTTCGACCGTGCTCGACCTATGTTTCGACTTTTTCGGCCGAAGTTGGGCATGTTTCGAGTTTCTTGACCAATGTTTCATTTTTATCGAGCAATGTTTCATTTTTCTTGACTAAAATTGGGCATGCCTCGACTTTCTCGGCCTATGTTTCGACTTTCTCGACCAAAATCGGGTATGTTTCGACTTTGTGCTTGACTTAAAATTGCTTCTCGGCCGCGGGTTTTTCAGTCGCAAAACTGCAAGCGCTCGACTTTCAAAGTCGAAACATAAGTCGAGCACCTCGACCCGGGAAATGATTAAATTCGGTCTTAAAGAAAGTTTCCTCTCCAGCGAACTATAGCCTGCATAAGCAACATTGTTACAGACAAGACTGGGATGGGGGGACTATAGGGGAAAGAGCAGAAATTGGACGTTCTTTTGAGCGACAATAACCATCAACTACTCACCAATTGACACGTAAGCTAGAGTAATTGCCGCTTCAATTGCAACTTCTTGGTCTGAGTGCTCGTTAACAATTGTCATCAAATTTCTAAAAAGCACAAAACTTTGAAATTTTCCAGATTTTCAATTCGTATCGAATTGTATAAACTGGGAGCCAAAACGTTTTTAATGAGTCTAACTTCCATCCATTTGTACCAAAACCTAATAAACGAGCGGACAAATGGATGAGAAAAACCCAAAGCACTTACCGTAACCCGTCTGAAGATCGAATCAGTTCCACATTCCGCTTCACAGGCACCAGTCCAGGTCTGATTGAGATCCTGCGCAGGAGTCGGAGGCTACCAATGGCGATGGAGGAGTTCTTGTTGTTGCAGATGGACACTAGCAGCACTATCCCGTTGCCAATCTCCTCTGGCTATGATTGAAAAAGTAAAAAGTAAAAAGCTACTTTCAAGGTTTTCAAGGACGATAATTTTTTCGATATAAGGACGATAAGGAAAAAAAGGAAGACGATTTATTTCTCAAGAGTTATAAGTAATAATAAAGATATTTAATAAAGTTGTTTAACACAGGTATACACACTAATTCATAACTCTCAGAGAACAGCCTACGAACCCATTTGGTTTTCAGATGGCTGCCCTGTAGCCCGAACATTCTCAAAAACAAAATTTAAGGTAAAAACTACAACAAATAGAAAAGAAAAAAAACTGATAAAAATCTAGAATAAGAGAAAAAAGAGAAAAAGATCTTCTTAAAAATATTGATTTGCAGATTTCAAAATTATCAGAATTAACATTCGAAGACAAACAAATACCCCTGACAATACAGGTTAGACGCATTAGACCTTGATAACTCTTACATTCCCTTGGAACACTCCTATGATTGATTACATTATAATATGATTAAATTTAGCTCAGAAAGTCAACAGAAAAATCAATTTGGCCCCGAAAATTTGATTGTCGTAGAATCCTGCAACCAGTTTATTTAAATTTCACAATCACAGTTCCTCGTATGTTCTTCATAGCCTTCGGTGTGAAAAGATTTTACTTGATTAAGAAGTTACTTCCTGGTCTTCGTGAAAAACTATTTGAAAAATCCCACCCATTTTCTTGAAAATATCACAGAAAAAAAGGCAGTTTGAACTATATGCCTCAAATTAATATGCCATTTTAGAAGATCTCTTTTCTCTCTGAATTTTGTTTTTCAAAAGCGACCTTAGCATTAGGTCCGCTGGCCAGTATCTCGAGTGCCTCGAGGGCTATGATGGAGAGAGGGGGTGTCTGGGGAAGGTAGTCCAACAGCAGCGCCACTCCTATCACATCCGCCATCAGCCTCCTTCTGTACAGGTCCCCCCGCACTAGACTCCACATTGTGTTCACACACGTCGCCTAAATAATTGGAATGCGATCAAACAAAATCACATTAAAAACAAGGTGACCTTTAAAACTATTTTTAAACGTATTTAGGATATCTAATTTGTTTTAATAGGTCTTTTAGTTCCCGAAAATTCAGTTGATCTATTCATTGCATTTCATTTTTTGAACCTAAAACAGTTTCTATGATTTTCAAAGACCGAAATGCCATTTTGGGTACTGCCTTCTTTACCATTTAGTAAAGTAGCTGGAACTTTTTCACACTCGTGCTACTTTGTTTTTTTTACCTGGGCCGGTATATTTTGTCTGTTCTTCTTCAAAATATCCCCCAGAATCGTCAGAGCTCCCAACTCTAGCGCCTTATCTTGACAAGCTCTATTATTTTCCACGATTATCCGCAATGTTTCAGTGCAGGACTCCTGAACTTGGAAGCTCTTTGATCTTCCAATTATAGTAATAAGAGCCTCTGTTATGCCGAGTCTGGTGACGTAATTCTGGTTCTGCTCGCGACCATCGCAACTTTGCAGCACTAGTTTGTTCAATACTAAAACGGAATGATCGGAATTTGGATATATTTTTGAAAATGATATATAATTCATATAGCGAATAAAATTGAAGCTGAAATATTTTCCACACTTCATGAGATTTTGTACAATGAATAAAGCTCGTTTTCATCTTCTCCGCACATATCGCCGATATCAATTTTAGTGGCACAATTCGCCCCTTTTTTGCGCCAGTTTTTACACATTTCGTTTGTCTTTAGTGGCCCTTATTTTAGTCGTTTCGCAAACGAAAGTGTGTCGCTTAGCAAAGTGAAGTTAAATAAAAGTCTTCGGCTAGTCTGGCTATGGATGTGTGCAGTCGGTGCTTCCCGCCGATAAGCGCTTGGCGTTCTCATAAACAGCTCGAGTTCGTATCTCGGAACTGTCAATCACGCAGCATGTATAGACAATTGCATTAAGTTTTTTTTTTTTTGGGGGGGGGGGGGGGGGGATTTTGTTAGTGGCTCAATATGTTAATACCGTGTATGCTGTACAATTTTACCTCCACAATTTTCAGAAATAGCACGTCTTTTTCAATATGTTTTATGCAGCCTTACATCAACGGCGTCTATTGAGCGTACATTTATTCAGTTTTTAAACATAATCAGGAAAATTTGTGAACATGAGGTCGGCGTTTTTCCAACAAACCTTCCATCGAGCTGGCGCTTAGTTCACTTTTACCGAGCCACCGCGACTGTTTGACGTTTCTGCATTTGGCGTCTATAAAACCGATGCAACAAAATTATCACCCAGTTTGCCGTGGGGTTTTCCCATTGTGATTTGCTTTTCAAAATAATGAAAAAATTAATTGAAAGTTTTGCCTGAAAACAACATACTGGGAGAAATCCGACATACTGGAAAAAGTTGGAAAGAAACGGAAAATAAATATATTTTTGATTTTTTTTATTTTTTACGTCAAATTGCGCTTATAGCTCATCACATAAATTTTGACCTCCTCAGACGCCAGATGATCAAGTTCAAATCTGATTGGAAACAATTTTTCTTCTTCATTTTTTGGGTACAACAGTTTAGCTGTCAAAAATTAAAATTTTGTGAGCCTTATTTGAATCAGTGGTCCTAGTTATATCTGTTTCATGTTCCCAGCTTTAAGAATTAGTTTCCAATATTTTTTCACTGGGAGTTTTTTGAATTGTTTTGAAATGTGGAAAGTATGCTCCTATTTCAACAAAAACATAATTTGCATTAAAAAGAGTCAAATTTTGTGTAATTGTTCCGACCATTTAAAAAATGCGGAGGAATTTTGAATTCGGTTGAGATTCAGTTTTTTCTTTTTTTTTCCACGCTTCTTTTCCACGCAAAATTAGGTACCACAAATAATCATCGGATTGGGTCAAATTGTATATCATTTTAAAGCTTTTCAGTCGTGATTCGAACGACAGTCGTGATTCTAATTTTTTTAAAGTTTAACGTCAAACTGCCCTTATGGCTCATCATATAGATTTTGACCTCAGACGCCATTAAAAAAACTACATTGAAAAAACTAATTTTTCTCAGTGTTAAGTAAGACCGGCTTAAAACTTTTTTCTTTTTGGTTCAATTTCGAACTAATAAAGTCAGCTTGCATGCTTACAATAGCTTACTTAAGCTTAATTTAAGCAGTAAAAACTTGGTTTTAATCAAGTAGCAATAGTTTTTGGAGTTTTTTAGCTCCTTTGGGAATCAAATTTTTTCAAATTCAAAAAGTTTTTACAAAAATCGAGAATTAAAAAAACATTAATACAAATTGACGCATGGTACGCAAATATATATTTTTTAACATTGTAGTTTTTAGTTTTTTTTTCTTCACAAACTATTTTATTTTCCAATTGCCTTTTTGTCTATGGCTGTCGACAATTCCCTTTTTTTGTTTTTGTTCAAATCGATTTTCTACAACAAACAGAAAAAACGACACTAAATTGATAGAAAAATTGTGTATTTTTCAAGACTATGGTCGGAACATTCTGTGCTATTTTCACGGTAACCGCTTATCCTTTGAAAAATCAACAAAAATTAATATATTTTTGTTTGTCAGAGTTTGAAATGGCATATTTTTATACTGACATGATGAAAATACATGTGGAGTTCGAGCTTTCATACCCAAGCGAGCACTACAATTTTTAAAAATATATACAGTTTTGTACCATGCGTCAATTGTAAGGTTTTTTTTATCTACAGCATTTTCAAGGAAAACCCCTACTTAGTTAGAAAAGCATGAGTTATCAGTTTCATCATCAGTTTATGATAAAAAACTGTAACAGTTTAAGTTTTCAAAAAATTCTTTTCTTGTTTAAGGTTTCGAAAAATTGTTTTCTTAAAATTTAAAACTTGTTAATGTTCGTTAGACTAATTAAATTGAGTCAGAAAAGACTGTTTTAGTTATTCAGTTTTCCTTATCTCATCTAAGAGCGATCATTCTGATTATCACTAGCGATCATTCTGATCATTACACACCCTCAGCTTAGTAACAAAAACATACTCCTCCTAATTTTTGTGGTTCTACAATATTTTGATTAGTTTTTGTAAAATGAAAACAAATCAAAATGAAATATTTTGATTTGTTTTGAAAATTGGAAATCAAAACAAATCAAAATAAATTTAACTTGTCATATCATAGGACCAGTGCAGAACATTGTTTTTCTGTTGAAGATTATCAGAAAGTATAAAAAAAATCTAGGTTTTTTTGTTCCGACTTTAGAAGAAAACGAAATATGGTTTTTTTCAGTCAGTTTACGGCAATCAAAATCATAGTTTTTAACAAAAATGATTTTTGCCCCATTGAAGATATCTACTCCTTGAAATCAAAATCAAAAAGATATTTTATCTCCGATCATTTTTGCAAAGTTTTGGGAGTTTGAAAATCGCCAAATTGGCCATGATCTGGACTACTTTATGTGCACTTTGTAGATGTTATCAATAATCCTGAAAAAGTAACGCGAATTATTTATGCGTGGTGAATTATCCTGCACAAGAAAACTGTTTCAACTTAGATAAAGGCTAGCTTATCAGTCGTATTATTTTCGTAACGCTCAAGTTTTCATACTTGATCGTTGATATTGTCCAAAATTTTTAGTTTTTAAATATTTTTTCCTAGCAAATATTTGATTTGGGTTAAAGGGCAGTGGGAACCTTCAGGGCTTCACCCTTATTTACGAGCAGTTTTGTTTGCTTTTAAGAGATTTAATGTTTTTGGAATCTGAATTGGTGATGAACATTTCTTAAGGTTCTCATAGTTGTTTAATGTTCAATTCAGATTACAATACTTTGAAGATTTACAAGACATTTTTGTATGATTCGTCAAAGATTGAAACCTTCGCTTAGACGATGAAAGAGTTTTGTGGAAGATCATTTTTTAATTCATTAGATGTGAATTGTTTGCAAAAGTTTTGAATTCTATTGAAACCCCGGAAGAGCTAGCAAGTTTTTTAATTGTTAGTAAACCAAAAAAGTTTCTTCTTTTCTTACTTTTGATGTTTATTTTTTTTGTTTTTAATGATATTTGCGAGATTAAGACTTGCAATCGGCATTGATTTGTAGTACACTTAGTATCGGATACTCTTTTATATTACTGTTTTACAACTTCAAATCTTAATTCAATTGTTAATTATTTTTAGTAGCGAAAAAAAAACAGTTCCACTACTTCAATTTGGCCAATGATGATATTCTGATGCGCAAAGAGTAATTAAAAAGCGCACGCCAACCAATGGTTTGTGAAAAAGTTTCGTATTTGAATTACGTGTAATCCTAACAAAAAATGTGTATATAAAGGTCTGGATCGAGACCTGTATACCGAAAACACTGTAAAAATTGAAATTAAAGTTGTAACGTTGATCAACTTTCCAAGATTTTTGTTTTAATTTTGCTTCGGCCAAAAGGGCTGTTTTGTTGTTCTACTGAATCGAAGGTTCTGTTTCTATCAAAAGTTTAGGCAAAGATTACAATACTTATACTTTTATCTTCATTACAACAATAAACTGATGCCACCGTGACTCATTATCACCATTTCTAAAATTATAAAGTTTCAGCTTACCCATCAGAAGGTCTTTGCCTTTAGTCCTTGAGTACATCTTCACTAGGTGTTCGTTATACTTCGACTGCAAAATCTCATCACCCACTCTCGAAATCGATTTGATCATGGCGCTCACACAGCCGAAAAGGTTGCACAAGGTCACTTCGGAATCCATTTTAACACACAGTTGCAGCACAAAAATATGCGCCTGATTTTGAACGAACTTTTCGGGTTTCTCTTTGCAAAGATGCAGTAACAATGAGCTAAAAATATATATATAGGATCTCAATAAACTAATAAAATATAAATTTTTGAAGAGAAAATATATATATATATATATATATATATATATATATATATATATATATATATATATATATTTTCATTACGAGGCCAAACTGTGCTTTTTGGGAAATGTAAGCGAATTCCGAACCAAGGACGCTCCCTTTGTTCTTTCATTTTCATTGATCGTTCCCACAAAATTTTAACATGTTTAAAGATTTGTCTCTGGAATCCAGGAACATGCAGACACAAAATTGTGCGCCTATCCGGTGCACAATTTGGCCGGTAATGTTTTTACCTGAGAGGAATCAAAATCTTTTGGTCCAAGCTATCGGCTAAATAGGATTTGGCCAGACGAATCAAAATTGTAATAGTATCTGCACCCAATAAGATAGCAGTAAATCCGTCAAACTCTATAATATTGAATATCAAATCAAATGCCAGCCTCTTCAGCTCATACGGTGCTTCTGATTGGACTGTTTTTAAAAATATTTTAACCAATCCGCAGTCGATGAATTCTTGTGCGTACGGTGAAATAGGAAAGGCTTCAGTTTTTTCTGTCAGTTTAGCTGCGAATTTAGCAGCTCGCATTACTAGGTTGTCGTCTGGGCTTTGCAGGAATTTGCAAAGCTTCGAGATGGTTTGCAGGTCGTCGTTGTAGTTGTTTTTGAAGAAATTGAACAGAACTTTGTTATGTCTGCCTATGACGACGTCAATCACGTCTAGACATACATCAGTCATGTACTCCACCTGAAAAACTTTTATTGCATTAAGCATATGTTGGCAAATCAGCATCTGACATTCAATATCTGGTCACAAAATAGTTAAACAGGAGGCTCTAACCCTTAGGAGGTTCGTTGAGACCCTAATCGTTCAAGAAGGGGTTATGTTGCAAGATCTTGCAAGAATCTCGCAACACTCTTTGCACCCCTTTTAAAAGACGATGCACCTTTTAAAGATCTTGCGAGCTTGAGACACAGCTTAAAACAGGTGCATTCATCAGAAAAAAAGTTGGAGCTCAATTTGAATCTGTTTAAAGCTATGGAAATAATATCTATACTGGAGACTGCCAAACAAAAACCGGCTTGGAAAAGACCCAATTATTTTTGCACTGTATCCGATGATGATGTGTTGTTTCCATATCTGACCTTGGCGCCTTCTCGAATGAGAAAGTGAGTGGCATCTAGTGACCCCCCGTAGACTGCACACATGAGGGGAGAGTATCCAGGGTAGAGGGGGTGTGTCTTCACTATAGGCATTTCCACCAGTTCATCCACCACGTCCATAAATCGCCGCATCTTCTTCACGTCACCCTGCAAATAGTGAGATAAACCTAATAATTTTTCGGCTTAGTGGACAATCGATGTCGGAAGCTTGATTAAATAAACCTAGCGGCGTATAGTGCCACATGGTTGTTGGGTGTGTCAGTTTCATAAAAGATAACAAGGCACCATTTCAGTGGATTTTAACGACTCAACAGATTCTTCGAAAGTATTTTGGCCAGATATTTGCCGCTAATTTAAAAAATAAAGCCTAATTTAGCGCAAATGCTCAAAAATAAGTAGCAAAGGTCAAGGAAAGCAGTTGAATAAGCAGCTTTCAATTTTCCAGGTCATGATGAGTTTTTCTCGCAACTCTTAGCAGACAGTGCGCTCTTAGGAACTTTTCCTAAGTTCAATTGTTGAGGCCTAAAAGTAGCTCCAAATATTTTTCGAAGTTATATTTGTTCCGACTATTTTCGATGAAAATAGCGGAATATTTGAGCTCAGTGTGTTTTTTTCATCTCCAGACAAATTTCGACCTTTTAACTAAATAAACAAAAAATTTTATATCATCCAAAAAATATTGTTGTTTTGAGTTCAAATTAAAAAAAAATATTTCCCCTGTCATTTTTTTTGTTAAGTTATTGAGGTTTGACGGTTGCTAGTTTGGCCAATTTGGGACAATTAGCGCTTGCTATTAACGCGTAAGCGGAGATATAGTCCGTCTAAGAAATCGTTTCAAATTCGACTGGGGCATGCTTTTTGGACTATTTGATACTTTGCTGCAGGTGAAATTTACTTTTTTGCACTTTACATAGCGTGCGGAGTGACGATTTTAAAAAAAACACAAAAATTTTTTAAAATATTTTTCCCTTTTCAGAAAAATTCAGCAATTACGAAAAATCTTGTGTAAATTGTTGGCTCAATCGTTTAAAAAACAAATGAGCTCTTTCACATTATGCGCCCCATCAAACCACATTCTGCCACACAATATACAACTTACTGTTTACTCCCACATTTGAATTTCAGATATGAAAAACAAATTTTACATTGTCATAATGCAATGAAACTTTGCGTGGCCAACAAGCTAAAAATTGTGAAGAACAAACTAATAGATCTGTTCTTCATATTTTCCATCGTAACATCACGCATTCAGCCATAAAAACATGTAAGACAACTTTGAAAATAGAAAAAAAAGAGATGTGTGTTTGGGGAAGAAGAAAACAGCCGAACTTACTTTTGTGGTGGGGATATAAGAATTGCTACTGCGTAGGGGCTATGGTTTGAAACAAAAATTCAATTTTGTATCTTTAGTATTTGTAAAAAGTAATCGAATCTTTCTCATCGTATCCTAAGATTTTTTTCGTTTCATGTTTTTTCTCGGTTCTTTTCAATTCCTCCTGACCCTTTTGTACTATTTTGAAATATCCATTTTTCGCTGACTGGCCTTAACGTTTTGGGCGCCAATATATTCTAATTTTGAGAATAGAGAGCACACAAAAAAGCGTGAAAACGCTTTAAAAGTTGGCCTGTGGCGCAGAAAATTTGGTAAAAGTTGGGTCTTTATATTGTTTTGGAAGAGCGCAGAAATTCAATTTGGTCGACTTAAAAAAATGTCGGCAAAATTTTAGAAATTTTTTGAAAATCCGCCCTTAGTATGAAAAACAAACCTCATCACGATTTTTGGTTTATTCATCGTGCCAATTTTGTTATCATGCCAACGTTAACATATGTTTATAAAACTGAAATTCAAAGGTTGGTGGCGGAGTGAAAAAGAGCCTCTATCTTAGTCAGGAGCGGTTTTAGGTAGGTGGATTATTACTCACCCTTTCAGAGATTCGACCTGTGCCCCTGTAGCCTTTGTTACTTTTTTACGACATTCATTTCGGCCGGTCGAACCTGAAGTTTTTGTAAAGGCGCCATCGGTGCCTATATGTTCTAATTTTGAGGGGGAGCGCGGGGCAAAAAAAACAAGATTTTTTGGTCAAAGTTTTCCAAAGTTTGTCTGCGGCGAGGAAAGTTTTGTCGCAAGAGTGTCCTATGGTGTTTTAAAAGGGCACGGAAAATCAATTTGGTCGACTAAAAAGAGTCAACAAAACTTTCGATTTTTTGAAACCCCCTCACCCTCGAAAAAACCTAGATCCGCGCCGGATCGTGGTCACAACTTTCTGTATTGCCAATGCAACCCACTACCCACTACTCTTGTTTATAGTTAAAGGAATTAGTCAATAGGTTTTATTTATTTTTTATTTTGATTATTCTTGAATTTGATCTGCCATAAAACTCATACAGTAGTAGTTATTACAAAACCCAACCGCCGTCTTCCATGATGCCATAAATCGGACTTCTGTCGGCTATTTTAATTGCTCATTCAAACTTGATCACAATCTTGTAGTGTAGTTGTTACCTGCAGACAGGCGTAGTGGAATGGGACACAGCCTTGTTTGTCCAGCTCCACCATCATCTTCTTCCTCTCCCACGCGAACATGGCACTCCCGAACACCTGTTTGTCGTAGTTCTCATCCACCCCCTCCCCACCCCCACCGCTGCCGCCACTCCTCTTCCTGGGGGGACTAAATAAATGACAGAAATTAGATGATGATCGCCATCAGCGAAGATATAGAAGCGGCTCAAAGACTTTTGATAAAATGTATTTTTACATAGATGCCCATGAAACTTCTAAACTATGCATTTTATGAACTTTGAATTTTTGAAACAGTGTGGGAAACCTCGAAAAGCGAGTTAGCCAAGAAATAGATAAGTTTACTAACTGCCTTCAATCCCCCCGTAAAAATGTTAATTGCATCCCTACAAAAATGTTAATTTGAACTAATTTTAAACAAGAGATCACATTTTTTCTGAAGTCTTTTTTGAAATAAATACACACAGAAGCTCTTGAAACACTAAGCAACACAAATTTACAGTTTCGAAATTTCAGGGGAAAAGTGTCTCTGCAAAAAATTGGCGATGGATGAAACATTTGCAGCATAGACGATGATGGTTTGAAGCATCAACTCACTTGTCTCTTGCGGAAAGCATTTTCGTAGATTTGACGACGACACAAAATTTAATGCTATACGCACGCACTGTTTATTTCTTACCAGATGAGATGTTTTATTGATTTATTGCCCTAAGGAAACAAAAGACATTTTAATGCTATGTCTGACATGCATGAAAGTGAATTAGGATGAAAAATTTACATTTCGGCATGAAAAATGCAGATCCTTATTGTCGTTTTCGTACATTTTAGGAAGCATCAAAAATATCCAAAAATAAACAGTGTCGATTAAAAATTGAGATCCTCGGTGCAGCAATTTAATAGTTTAAAATTTCGTAGTTTTGGCTTACGAAAAAAGCAAAAGAATTTTTATGCTGGGATGGATTTTTTTCAGAACCAATTCGGTGTTCGAAAATCATTTCGAGGTATTTTTAAACATTGCTTTTAGGAAACTGATGAATTTAAAATGATAGCATTTTTTCACATGCATTTGTTTTTTGTTCAGTTATCATTTTCAAAGATAGCGAATTGAGTTAGTTTTTGGACTAATTCGTGCTCGCCTTGTTTCCTGGTAGCAGTTAAGAGAGCGAGCTCGCGCTGTTCGCAAAAGTTTTTCAGCTCAATGTTCGCAAAGTCTTTTCAGTTTTTCAGTTCAATTTTTTTGTCAAATTGCCTTTTTTCAAGAAAACTCGTTCATTGATAAATAATATCTTTTCAAAATCTATATTGTATAATGCTCAAAACTAAAACACAATCAATATTTTGGTCAAAGCACTAGCAGTGTAACTATGATCTCAATGTCACCAGTACTCCAGAAAAATTCAGAAACATGGGTTTTCAGGTGCTTTAAAATGAAATGAAAACAAGGATAACCGTTACTGTGCAAGTAGCACAAAATGTTCCGACCATAGTTTTTAGAAAACTACGGTTTAGAAAGTTTTTTTGCAAACTTGTGAAATTTGTTTTGCATAGTATTATAAAAAGATCTGATGTAAAAAAAATAATTTAAGCATATAAGACTGCATATAAAAAATTTTGTAGAAAAATAGCTAGAAAAACTAAAAAAAAAAATTCAACTTTTTTTCAAAACTTTTTGCGGAAAAACTTTGAATTTTTTGAAGTTTTTGGTTTCCAAAGTGATGCTAAAAAAACTCCACAAATTAATTTTACTAGACTAAAATTAAATTCAAAAAACGCCAAAAATTAGTTTTACTTGCCTAAAATTAATTAACTTCTGTAAGCCTGCTCGCTCGAATTAAGACGAAAAATCAAAAATGTCAAACAAGTTTCTCTCGACACGCGGAAATTTTTTTGAAAATGTTTTAATGGGGTTCAAATCACGATTTAAAGGGCTTTAATATGATATATCGCTCAACCCAGTCCGATGAATATTTGGCCAAAACAAGGTCTTTTTAGTTCTCTGTCGTAAGTCAAAAATCAATTTGCGCGACTTAAGAAAAAATAATTTAGCCGACAAATGTGAATGGACGCCAATGGAGCCAAAAATAAAACAAATGAAATTGGAAGTTGTTGCCAAGAAAGAAAAATTTTGAGCAATTATGCTTTGAGCGATTATGCTTTGAGAGATATTTTACACAGCAACTGACATGAATTGTTTTTTTCATTTTTTTCGCTAAATGACCCAAATAGTTGACTAACACAAAAAAATGTAAAGTGACACCTTGTTCGCAGAATTAAGTTTTAAGCGAATGGTAATTTAAAAAAAGAAGTATTCAAAGTCACGGTTTTTAAATTTTTGAATTACAGAAAAAAACTAGCAAGAACTACCAGTGAAACAACTATCAAGAAAACTTCTAGCACCAAAAACACACTGGTGTCCAATTAAGCCTACAAATTAAAATCAGATAAACTTAAAGCCAAAATGAATGCTTAGGGTAAAAAAAATAATTCCATTTTTAATGAAAAAACTAGGTTCGAACGGGACTCGAACCTCAGAACTTGCGGTTCAATGGCAACCACGTTACTTTTTCAGGGCTATGAAGGAAGGAGACTGGACATTTTTTTGAAGTTCAATAGTAAAGCAATATAAGATTTAAAAACAAATTAAAAATTGAGTTGAAATATAACTTGAAAAAAAATCTAATTGAATCGTATGATGTGCAGAAACAGCCTTAAATGCATTGGAAATCATTTCCCGACGCAAAAAAAAACAGATCGACCCTTATTAATTCAAAATCAAAAGTTTTACCACAAAAATTGAGCTAAAATCATTTTTAAAAAGTTGCCAAAATAAGACATGGTGAATTTCTAAATTACACTAAAAACTTTCAATTATAGTACAAACTGTTTACAACAAAATAAAAATCTTTTCTTGGAAAATAGCTTGAGAAAAACCGTATTAGATAGTACAACTGGCAGTAGAAAAACGTAATCTAGGAGGAAAACCGCGAAACCGAAAAAAAACTGTTTGAACATGACAACCATAGACAAAAAAAGTTGAGCATGTCAACCATAAAGCGTAAAGTTTACCCTTCCTACTAAATTGGCTATTCTGTGAACAAAGTTTTTTACCGGAAAAAGTCTTGTAGCCGGTTGCAACAACCTGTCTAAACGCAAGAACGCAAGGGTTAATATTCAATTGCAAAAAAAATAATATGCTTATAAAGCCTCACTACGTTCAAAAACAATTTCAATTTGCTTAAGACAAAGTTCACGTTCAAATCAAGCGTACATTTTTTTCAGGACGAAAACTACATAATCTCGTAACATTTCCTTTCCGACAGCCACACTATCAATATTGATCTAATCAAGCAATTTAGTTGTGATTTCAACTCAACTGTACAAAGGTTTCAGGATAAAAAACACAGACCGTTTTTTTTACAATTTCCGTTCCGATGACCATATTATCTCTTCTAAACTAATCGGAAGTTTTTTTACATACACAGCGGCAAAGCACAACTTTGCGCCAATGGCAAATTTAGTAGAAAATGCGATCTCGGAACATGCAAAGCGTAACTTTTCGATTTCAACGAGCACAACGATTTTTTTCTTTTTGTTATAGTTGTTTTCTCTGCAACTGTTTAAGAAACAGATTTCAAATTTTGATAAATGTGAGATAAACATTTTGATCGGAATTAGCTGCACAATATTTACTTTTGGAGGTGTTCTTGATGTGGAAACATCAACGCAAGCAAAATGAATAGCTTAAACTTATGGGCTCAAAATAGTTCTTTGAAAAGCAGATCAGCTTTGCTTACTCTTTATGCTGCCGAAAACTGGCAGATAGCAGAATTTAAAGCGTTACTTGGTCTAGCGACACAAATTGCCTAAAATTTGTGATGTTTTCGCGCTGATTATTTCGCGCGATCGAAATAAGTCACCGAAAGAACTGCTTTAGCAAATATTTTGGAAAAACAATTACTCCCATCTATGCGCAGGAATTTCATTAGCAGTTTTTGTGTGCGTATCGTTTGTCCAACTTTCTGATATAAGCTCCCAAGATTTTCTATAGTCTGTACGGTCAAAACATTTATAAAAGCTGGATCAAATACATTTTCAATTTTGTTATCTATCTTTTTGGAGGCTCAAAAATAACGTTAAAAAAATCGTTCATTTGCTCAATGAAATCAAAAATTTCTTTTTCTTCTGCCCCGTGACAGCAGTAGTGCAAGCTAGACGATAATAAAAACTAATGAAAGCCAATAAATTGAAAACTGAAACATTAAAAAATATATATATATTTTTTAAAAGTTTGTCTCAAATCGTTATCAGGAGTTAAGAAAACCCGGCCAGCAACAGAACCGTCAGCGTTGAATACGAAATCAAAAACTTAATTTTGCGGCTGTCAATTGACAACACATAGAGCGTGAAGCCCCAAAAAAAACAGTTAAAAAAATTTGTATTCATGAAAAACTATGAGCTAAAAAGTTTTTAATTTCTAAAGTGTTACTTCCTTCCTCCTCCAGAAACACACAATAAGGTAAAAAAAATTGTCATCAGATGCAATTTTAGTTCCCATAGCCAATAAAGCATAAGCTAAAACCATTTAGGCCGAAGAAGGATTTGAAGCAAAACAAGGAAAAAGTCAAATTGGTAAAGTAACTTGTTAGGGATTTGATTTCAAAACGCGTCCAATTAAAAGAAAATTGCTTACAGAATAACCCATTTCAATGATGTGGCAACTTAGTCGACAAATAATCAACAAAACTGAAATGCCGACAATTTTTTTGAAAATCCTTTTTTTCAATAAGAAACAAAACAGGACCTGGCCGGTTTTGAACATAGACACATAGTCCCAGGTGAAGTCGTTGCCTCCAATCAAATTGTGCCAGGAAAAATTATTTATGTGAATTATTATCACTCAAGCTTTTAGGCTATTCAAGCAATTTGTTGAACAAGTTGTTAGCCCCTTTAAAACTATATTCCGATTTAATAACGTTTGCTAATCGCAAGCGTAGAAGTATTTTCGTTAATTTTGTTTTAGAGTCTACATGTACTGACAAATAGGTTGTTTGCGACCCATATGACTAAAGTAAAGTGTAGATGTCTCAATAAAATTTGATATAATTTAATTTAAAATGGGCCGTGATCACTTTCAATTCACATTTTTTTTAGTAAAATTTTGTTAATCAAAAATGGAATCAACTTCGATTTTTTGAAATTTAGCACTTAATTTTGAGGAAAACGTGCCAAAAAAAAATATTGCCAATGTGAAACTAGCATTGTAACCAAATTTCTATAGCAGTTACTATGCTGAGAATATTTGGTCAGACATCCGTTGGGCCAAAACAAATTTGTTGCAAAAAAGTTCAAATTCCAGAAATTTTGACTCTCCAAGTTTCATTCCCCCAAAAGAAAAAATAACCAATTTCAAGTAATTGGTTATGCAGGTTGAACTAGATTTTTTTCAGCATTTATTCATTTCGTAGTGTTCGTACAGTCATTATCATTCACAGCCATAATAATTAAACGAGCATTAAATCAATAAAAAAATTTTGAGTCTTTATTTGAAACTTAATTGAGTCTTTAAGTCAGTCGGTGCTTATTTACTGTTCGACAAGTTGAGATTTACTTCAAACTAAAGATCTTCCGGTCGTGTTTCCTTTATAGACTCCGGGGCGTCTCAGAAGTGGTGTACATGTTTAAAGGTAAGCGTATGAAGCCTCAGTGGCGACTCCGCAGTTGTTTCCGTAGTTTCTGATCATCATGATGTACCCGTTCATTCCCCAACTGGTTCCCCAGCTGTTCTTCACCAGCCAGTAGGCCTCGTTGCTGGCTGAGTCTGTTCCATAGCCGACCAGAAGAACGGCATGGTCCAGAGATCGAGTGCTGCAGTAGGGCTCATAATACACACCACCGGAATATCGCTGAAAGAAAAAATATTAAGCACGATATATACTTTTGTTTCGACCTCGTCACTAAAAGCGACCAGAAGAAACTATGATTTCGTAAGCTTTTTTTTGTTCAAAGAAACCTCTTATGTAGCCAAGCGTAGTATCATGCTAAAGCCCTTTCAGCCGTGATTCGGATTCCAAAAATTTTTGAAAGACTGTCCTCGTTTTTCAGACCCAATCAGGGGCGGATTTAGGGGGGGCTTTCCCTGCCTCTGTGCATTCCATAAAAATTCCAATTGGTTTGAATTTTTTGTTCAGATTTGAGTTTCTTAACTTCAATTGCTGCGGCGAGAATATTCTGAGCTATTTGCTCAGCAACCGACTATCCTTGTTTTTTGGCCTGTTTTTTCAGCAATTTCCCGCGGCGCAGAAGTTTTTAGCAAAATAGGGTATTTATAGGGTCTAAACTGAGCTCGGAAAAATCAAGTTCATGCGCACGCCACTGATTACAGTTCATTTAAGAAAATTATTTAAAATTTGTTTTACATGAGCTATATTGACGCAAAAATTGTCAATGTGATCATGTGCTTTGTCATTATTGATTAATTAGGGGCGGATTTAGGGGGGCGAGGGGGGGGGGGGGGGGGGGTACGTCCTCTTTCTCAGGGATTCGATCGACTCCCTGCCGACCCAAAGGGTCTCCCCTTTGGTACTTTTTAAGAAATCAATTTTTGGCCGACCGACCCTAAAATTTTTCTTAAGCCGCCTTCGGCGCTTCGGCGCTTCGGCGCCAATATATACGAACTTTGAGGGGGAGCGCGCGCCAAAAAAAAACGCGATTTTTTTGTCCAAATTTTCCAAAAAGTGCCTAAAAACGGCTTTTTTGACCTGTTTTTTAAAAATTTGCCTTGGCGCAGAAAATTTGGCCAAAACAGCGTCTTTTTAGTGCTTTAGGAGAGCTCGGAAAATGAATTTGGTTGACCTAAAAAAAAAAGGTCGTCAAAATTTTCGAAAATTTTTTGAAAACGCCCCCTCGAGAAAAACCTAGATCCACCCCTGTGATTAATATCGAATCAATCGTGGCACTGGATACCTAACTAATGTCTGAACTCCTAACATAAAAATTTGGAGCCTTGAAACCCACCATAAGTTGGAAAAAGTATGATCCTGTGCCTTGATTATCTACCTGGAAACTAGTCTGGCTGGCATCGATGGCAATTGAGATGGGTCCAATTGTAGCCGAGGCATCCTTGAGGGAGTTCTCATCTCCACTGGGCAGAGACTTGTACCCGCTAACCACTCCAGTCAGTGGGGTTCCGGGGGATTGGCAAGGGGCTACGTATCCGTTTCCAGATGTGTAGGGGTACACCGACTCAGGGTAAACTCCGTTTTTGGCAAAATAGGTAATTCCAGCCTCGGCCCAGCCTCCGCCGCATCCGCCACAATAGGAATCACAAGACACCAGCTGTTGTTCACTGAAGGACTGGAGGTTCTCTAAAATATACATTTTTTTCAAAATAGGTATTCGGTTTTCCATACAGTTTTCCACAAAATAGAGTACACAATTTTGCTAGAATGGATTATCCTGAGACGCTTTATTACAGCTTTTGATTAGATGACCGTTTTGATGAGTTAAATGTAGGTTTCATTCAAGGGGTGGGGTCAACAGTAATTGATCGAAGAAGTAATCAATTACTGGTGGTGTTGTAGAAGAGTCCCTCGACGCTGCCGGTGGCAGAGAAAGCCCAGCAGCTACCACAAGAGGCCTGGTTCTTCACTCCAGTCACATATCCAGCAGACACCCAGTCTACAGTGTCGGGAACGGATCCCTGAGTTAAAGTAAAAATCATAAATTATGACAAGTAATAGACAACTTAAAATGTAGCTTTAACTTTTTTTTAACGTAGGCGTCTAACAATAGCCTGCTTTTAAAAAGAAAAAAAAGGAATTTGTAAATTAAGCGACGTGAGTGATTTTTTTTTCAGATAGAGAACAACAAAAATTGCTCTGCCACATTAATATCGTAGCTTGTCAAAATTGTTGGTGACAAGTAATAGACAACTTAAAATGTAGCTTTAACTTTTTTTTAACGTAGGCGTCTAACAATAGCCTGCTTTTAAAAAGAAAAAAGGAATTTGTAAATTAAGCGACGTGAGTGATTTTTTTTCAGATAGAGAACAACAAAAATTGCTCTGCCACATTAATATCGTAGCTTGTCAAAATTGTTGGTAAACTAAAATCAATTCCTAAAAGGGGTTATGCAAAATGTAGTTGAATAAGATATCATAAAGAATGGCCTGGTATTATACTATGGTATTCTATCATTGAAATTGCTGGTTGTCGTACCTGGGCGGGGAATGGCTCGGCAGCGTAGTGTTCACTTCTGAGCATTCGTTTGTGTCCCAGATAGATTGATCTGAACTCCTCCGCGGACATATCGGAGAACTCGTTCAGGGCTTGAGTGTAGGTTGACAGCCCTAATTCATGTTTGATGTTGTGCTCCGAGACCTAAAAAGAGTTGTGTAAGAATGTCAAGGATTCATTAGATGAAGATCTGTTGCAACTAGTTTTTCGCCAGTAGTTAAAATTTGGTTGACTGTTACTCAATGCGTGTGGCTCTAGACGAGTAGAATCTTTACATCATTACTTGCATCGCTGGTGGTCAATCAACAAGCTTAAGATATATCTGTGGACAAATTTCACAGCTGTGTGCTGCCCTTGATGATCGAATATATATCTCCCCTTAAATCAGTCTAGGAAATTGATCTCTCAGAAAATAGTTTCATTTCAGTAAATCGGAGCACTTAATGCAAAGCCGCCAGTTCAACTTGAGGAGGGTATGTTTTACAAGCTACAATAGTAGATGCGGTGGGGGGGGGGGTTGTCAAGAGATTACATGGGGTGGGGCAATTGTTTTTGTTTGTGTACCTCTTTCTTGGCCTGGACCCAGATGTCGAATCGCTTGGCCTCCTCGGCGATGGTATCGTACTCCTTGTTGTATTTGCTCTTCCATGCCTTCCACAAGTCGGCATAATCTGAGTCCAGGATCTTCTTAGGCACAGCAGCGAATGTGATCATAGGCACAACGGCCACAGCCAACACAGCGAGCAGCAGATTCATCTAAACAACACATTCTTTTCATAAACAGGCGGGCTCTTCCAGTTTCCCTCATATGTAAAACTTAGTCATAAAAAACATTGCTCACTTTCACCTCTGTTAAAGTTTACTCACCATGCTTAACTTTTTTTGGTCACTGGTTGCAACACTGGTTTTGTTGCGAGTTGTCGCATTACGACAAAATTGCACCACCGATTGCTTTCATGCCTAGCCTACTTCGATTGGACTGAAGATTCCAATTGAATGAGGTTCTATTTTTCAAGGGCGTTTTATATTTTGTGGGTTCTCAATGTGAAGGAGGCATTATAAAAGAAGAATTCTTAAGATACACCATTAAGTTGGCTATTTTAAATGAAAGCAAAATTAATCACTTCGGATTTAAGTTCCTATGAGTCATGTTTTTTGTACTATTTTATGATTGCATTTTAGCTGAATCGCCACAAGAACTTTTCCATTTATGCCAAAATATCCTTACTTATTCACAAGAATAATATGCTTTGAATTTTTTTCCTGTTTTTCAAGTTTTTCGAGTATTGAGTTTATTTTGCACTCGATAGTTTATCCCTTAGTTATAAAAACTTTGACCTTAAAATTAGAACCCAGCCGATAGAAAGATACTCACTTTGTCGGATAGTTTCAAAACAGAAGATGAATGATTGGATCTTGTGGCGCTTTATATTTATAGACAGAGGTGTTGACTACCAAAATATTTTCAGCCCAGTCTTACTACGCAATTTGTTTGTATCTGCCCCCACTAATCGAAGAAAACATCTAGAATTCGAAGTTATTCTTTGACCATTTATTGTAGATAAGCAAACAATAATAATCACATTTTTGGATTTTCGAATCAAAATTTTGAGTTATTTGCAAAATTCATATTGACAGGACCATATTTGAGTATCTTTCAGAAGGTATTGTGCTCGGTAATTATAAATTAGTGCCATATCCCATTTATGACATTGAACTTGCTGGATACTTTGATGGCGAAAGGATGCTCATTCTATAATCATCTAAAGCAATCAGTTATCAGACTTAAGCATGCAACAAACAACAAACAATCCAAAACATGTGAACATTGCAAACATTTAAACTTTTGAAATGAACTTGAAAGTTAAGAGCAATTAGAAGAATTTTTAAATTAAATTAGCTCGACTGGTTCATCTGACGAGTTTGGAAACAAAAAATATAGATGTTCCAGTTGCTTTGTTCTTCGAAGCAAAGTAAAAAAAAAATTACTTATCCTCTTAGCTTGTTTTTCTTTTCTACAAGATATCCAAAGCCGGTTCTCAACTCGGGTTTTAGCTCCGATTTCACAAAAGATGACAGAATATTTCTGGTTTTTTCTCAAGACAAAACTCGACTCTTTAACTAGCAACTTATGGCGAAATTTTTTATCAAAAGAAAAACATTGTTGTCCTGAGCTCAAAATACCAGAGACATTTTACTTGTCGATCATTTTTCATAATGTAACGGAGGTTTAAAGATCGCCAAATTGCCCGAATTTGATCGCCAATTTGCCCGAGTGCTATTATCGCGTATCAGAGATTTATTCCGTCTTAGTAATCGTTCCAAACTGAATTGAAGCAAGTTAATTGTTCCGATTTCGTAACAAAAGTAACGGAATATTTGTGCTCTGGGTGGTTTTTTTTTCCAAACAAACTTCGACTCTGAACCTAGCCATTTTTGACGGAATTTTTTTATGTCATTCAAAAAGTATTGTTGTCCTGAGCTTGAATTTGAAAAGATATTTTACCTGTGATCATTATTCATAAAGTAATGGGGTTTAAAGATTGCCATTTTAGCCAAATTGAGACAATTAACGCGCGATATATTTTGCGCTATTAAAGTGTAAGCGGAGATTTAATCCGCCTTAGAAAGCATTCCAAATTGGTTGAAGGAAGCTTTTGATTTGTTACTATGAGCGAAATTTATCACTTTGTACTTAGTATGGTGTGTGGGGGTATGGTTTTCACAAAAAATCACAAATTAAAAAAAAATCGTTTTATTTTTTATTAAATTAGTTTTTAATCATGTTATTTTTGCTTCATAGACCTTAAAAGGCAGTTGAAACATTCAAAACTTCGCCCCGATACAAGCAGTTTTGTTGGTATATGTAATACTTTGCTAAATGTAAATTTTGTCATTTTGAACTTTACATAACGTGTGAGGGAATGGTTTTCGAAAACAAATCTTGTTTTTTAAAATTTTGTCAACCTTCATCAACTTTTTTGAAGCAAAAGTTTTTTCATATAGTTCAAATAGGAGTCGGGACATTTGGGGCTCTGCCTGGTACTAGTTGTGTTACTTGAACTAAACGGTCCAGAAAGAAGAAAATTGACAAAATTTTTTTTTTTAGAAAAATCCAGCTGAAAATTTATTTCAGAAAAGTCGAAAAAAAACTTGATGTCTCGGATGAGGTTCATAAAGAGCTTTAGCAAGCCTTGCGAATCAATTACCGAACGGCAACTTTGGCAAACACTTTTACTCTCGTTAAGCCAAAAATGAAACTGAAGTCATAAAAAATTACAAACTACAAGCTACAAGTTCCTGATTAAAGTCACTTGTTCTCGCAAATGAAAAAACCCTACCACAATTAAATGACCTTTCAGAGTAAAATATAAAACAGTACTTTGCTTATCGGAAGGATGAATTTTTTAAATTTGTGGCAGATTAAAAAAAAGTCAAATCGAATATAAACAGCAAGAAAATGAACCTGTTGATTTTTTGAAGTTAATAATGATTTTATCATCCTGAATGTTCAGAATGAAATTAACATCCTGAACGTCTTTGTTTCATGTATGTGATTAGCTAATTATCAAGTTCATTTACATTCAAGATGTTATTCTCAATTCAAGATGTTAAAATTTTTTGGTCTTTTTTTAAAAGGCTCCCCAAATCTGATTCATGTGTGCCTTATAAGTGTTGTTCGTTTTGATTTTTTGAATTTCATTGGTTTTATATTATCTGCATTAAAAAAAGTTTGATTTTTTCAGCCAAGTTTCAGTTTTATTCAATGCGTTTTCATGTGCTTTCTCATGTTCCAATGCAAGTTCATTTTTATACTGTCGTTGGTGAAATTGCAGTGTCAATCGCCTGCAGAAAGTCGTCTGTAGTTTTCTATTAGCGTAAAATTAGTTTAATAAAATCAAGGAAAGGCAGCGTAGAAAGATCAAGCCCTGTGGTACTCCAAAAAAAGTTGTAATGACGAGCCCGCACTAGAATTTCATGGATAATAATCGATTCATTAAGGTTTTGAGTGTCATTCTGTACAAAGTTCAAACACATTCAATTAGAATCGATATAAAATAAATTACATAGTGCTACTTTCTCTTGTAACACGTTGAATTAAATGAAAAGAGGTACATGGGGTGGGTTGTCTGTGATTAAATACAATCAAATAAAAGTGTTTCAAATGGATTACATTTGGTTTCAATGGAATTAAATGGATTCCTTTTTGAAAAAAAAAATCGAGGAAGAAAAAATCCCCACATCACACAAGCATCATTTTTATGGTGTAACGAGTCATTTGACAAGGTTAAGTATCAAGACCAAATATGTTTAATACGGCCTAATCAGTCTGCCTAATGACAATCGAACAACGTGATCAGTAATTTTAGCAATAAAAACTTTAAGTTGGGGAAAGCAAAAAGAGCCAAAATCAAGGCTCCTTTTCCTTTTCTCTCACCTTTAAACTTTTACAAGTAAAAGCTTTGTTCACATTTCCTGATTGTTACGAAAACTGACATACGGGAGGAAAAAAGGCCTGTCTCAATATATTAAAACAGGCTACTTTTGGCTGCTTGCGTATGGTGCTCACAACGTTTAAGCGCACAATGGGTCTAGGGATTTTAGTAGACCGGTTTTTTAGCAGACCGGTTTTTTAGCGGACTGGTTTTTTAGCAAACTCAGAACAACTATAAAGTGTGATAGCTAACTTCAAACGCAGCATTGGCGATTAGCGATTGCTTGCTTTGCTGCGCTTCAATTCAACACGAGTGTTATTGTGCGCGTAACTCCTTGTTTTGCCGCAAATTTAGACTGCTGTGTTTTTGAAGTTGATAGTTTTGTTGACAAATTGTGAGATAATTGACTTGATTGGGGAATATTGGCCTCAGACTTAGCGTCTTTTTGAGTCTTACAATCGACCATCTTTCAATTAATTATTTTGGTCTGCTAAAAGACTCATTTTTCATTTTTTATGCTAAAAGATTGGTCTGCTAAATGATCGGCCCCCACGCACAATGAATTTCTCAAAAGAATTGTTTTCTATCAAACTGAAATGCTTTCAATTATTTCGGAAACTTAATTTTATGATTCTTTTTCAGTCCAGTTTTAAGACCGGTATATGATGAAGTCGGCTCTTTACAATACCTTTTTTTGATCCAAATTTTCAAAAATCTAATCAAAACATACTTTTTTGTGAATTCATTGTTAGATCATTTAAACCATAAAAATGTATCTTTTACACCATACAAATGATGCTTGTGTGAGGTGCTAGGAACAGAAAAAAAAGAACCAAAATTGTTTATAATGACAATATAATCGATTTCATGGTCTTAATTTGCAACAAAAAAAAACACGTGTTTAGTATGTTTCTGTGCCATATTTGAAAACTGGTGCATTATTTGAAAACTTAGCGCAAAATTAAAAATTGCATTGGTGTTTCAAATATTGCAATAGTTTATTTTTCAAATGAGAAATTGAAACTCTGATGCAAAATCGTTCCTAGATTAATCAACCAAAACAATTAGCAAATTAAAAAAAAAGTTGAGCGCGTGAAAATTTTTCCAATTGTGCGTGTTTTATTCAATTTTTGTTCGAAAAGTTTTTGTTTGAAAAAAGTTGTCAAATATTTAGTCACTATAATCCATTATATAGTAAAAAAAAACAACAGCTTAAATTGCATCGCGAAAATTACTCTCATCTTGACATTGTTTCGATTTAGTCACAAAATTGTTCATTGCAATATGTAGCAGTAGCTTGTCTACATCATAATGGACTATACAGTGCTGATTCAAGTTATCCGGACAAAACGATTAAAACTTGAATTTTCAAACGCGTTTTTTTTTTTCAATTTGGGTTAAGATTAGGCAAAGAGTTAAGAGAACAAAGTTGCTAAGAATTTCATCAGAATTATTATAGTGCAAACTTTTCTCCGAAATTCTCAACCAAAAGTTCATTTTGGCTTTTTTCAATTAATCAAGAATTAAGCTGGAGCAACTTTGTTAATTAATGAGAGAATTATCTCACAAGAAGCCTTTTACACAGCCCAACAAAGATTAAGAAGTGTCAAATCTAAGAAAATGTGCGCAAATTTTCAAAAACTTGTTTTTAAACAAAGATTCTGAGTTTTATATAGTAAAAATCACATTTTTTGACTATCAAGTAAAATTTTTATATTTTTCTCTCATACTGGTTAGAAAAAAAAAGAAAAAAATTGACACATTTTTAGGGTAAAATTTGGGTTGTGAATTTCGGAAAAAAAATTGCCCATATCAATTCTGATGAAATTTTAAGCAACTTTTGTCCTCTCCACTTTTTGTCTAATCTGAACCCAATTTGAGAAAAAGGCGTTCGAAAATTCAAGTTTTGTTCGTTTTGTCCGGATAATTTAAATCAGTACTGTAGTAATTAAAGTTTTGGCAACTTTTTCCCTTATACTCGATTCAACAACATTTAAATCAAGTCAGTGTTGAATCCGCTTAAAAACTATCGATGCAACCGAAACTGCGTTAAAGCAGCTTGGAGGCAGTCAAAATGAAAGCATTTAATGGTTCCTTGATTCCTTCGTAGCAAAACGCTTCTACAAAAATTAAGAATTAATAGCTGTTAGCTTGAAGCCCTGAAGCTAGAAGAGCCAGTTTAAACTCCTCACTCTCGTAAATCTTTTTGTTTCAATTGCCTTTTTACTTCTGAGAAAAAATTTCTGAAAATTCTGCTTCTCAGATGAAAGGTGTTTAGATATCATTGAATCTTGCTTAACACTTGTTAAATTTTTCAAGTAATGCAAACTCACTTCTGCTATCTGAGAACAAAGCCTATTAAAGAAGTCCATTTATAATTTATTTGATTTGATACATTCAATTGTCCGAGGTTATCCACGCTTTTGAAAGGCAGAACAATGACCAGTTTTCTCAAATAAGTTGGCTCATTTCTCTAATTTTTTATCATTTAGAATTTGAATTTTGATATCATCTGAAATTCACCAAGGTAAAATCCGAAAAATGAACACTTTCCGCAGTTATAAACGCGTTTTGTTATTGATTACGTTTTTTTGTGTTCTGAGAAAATCACGCCAGATTGGAGTACCGCGCGCAAGCAGGCAAGTTCACAAAGAAACTGGTTTCGGGATGTTTCACCAAGTGTCCATCTAAAATGATAAAAAACATTTAAAATTTTTTTGTGAATCAAAGAGGATCTGTAAAAATATCCACCCCAAATCAATTTAACGGAGAAAAAATTTAACGGAGTTTTGTAGGAAATTACGGGTGTTTTCGAATAATACGAGGCTTAAATCAATACGAGGCGAAATTGTGCATATTGTGAATTGTAGGCGGATTCCGCTACAGGCCCAAATTAAATTTGTTGCAAAATCCGCAGCATTGCTAATTTTCTTTGATCTTGTTTTCCACAAACAAATAGCTAAAACAATGTACCGCAGAAAATTGCTGCAAAAATGGGCGAATTTGCAGAATTTGGAACAATTTGTGGAATCCACAAACAAATATTGAAATATAGGTTTATTAAAACTGAGCTATTGCGGAATCCGTAAATTGTAAGCGGAATTTGCAAATTGTTAGCGGAATCCGCTTTTTGTTTGCGGATTCCAATATTAAACATAGTAGCGTTTTAAATTAAATCGTTTATTTAATACTTGGTCACCAGCAACATCAATCTCAATTAATGCTTACAATTGAGCTACCAGTTGAAGAATTAAACGTTCGATCTCATTTCCTACCAAGCTACCAGCAATTTTGATCTGAATTACTGCCCCCAACTTCGATCTCAATTCCTGCCGACTTACAACCAACTTCGAATCAGGTTCGATATCAACTCTGCTAAGTTCAATCTCAACTCCAGCCTTTCACCCAACTTTGATCTCAATGCGCGTCAAATCTAATTTTGCGTATGCAACAACTGACAATTGGTTTAAATCAGCAAAGAACCAAATTGCTGAACCCACTTGAATTTAGCGGAAAAAAGCTTAAATTTGAAGATTCCGCTTGCCCAGATCGAGGATTCCACTTACGTATGCGGAATTGACCTACATATTGCGGAATCTGCTTACATTTGCAAAATCAAGAACAGCTAGCTATTTTTGCTGGTTGCGGAATCTGCGACAAAGCAAATGTGCCCAAAAAACGTACGTTGTAATTGTAAGCCGAATTATGACTGTTTAAGAGTGAATTTTCTTAATTTTCCGAACATGTTTGAAGACAGAAAACATACATAGACTAAATGGAGCGCCTATCCAGTGTGCAATTGGATTCGTAAGGAAGATAATAATGAAAATGTCTCTTGAAAATGGCGAAAGTGCGAACTTAACGTTAACTAAAAAAGCATTGGGAGCTTTTATCGAAAATTATATTCAAAAAATTGACAAAAATTGGAGAAAAAAGTCAGCCTGAGGCTCAATCAAGTTAGATTATTTAACACAGTTTTTATTGTGTTGTTGCATAGCGATTGGATACTCTAAAATCTATTAATTCAAAATTAATTCAACGCACTTCCTTGTAGTGCATTGGTCCGGCTAAGTCATTACCAAGGTAGTAAATGGCGGTGATGGGTTGACTCTCTCACTAGGGTAGTCTTTCAACAGCTGGTTTATTGCGCTGCTATGAAACCTGAAGCAAGTATTGCAACCGTCTATCATTGCTTGCGCCATCATTTTGTTCCGGATTATTCAGTTTTGCTGCTCAGTTTGAGCAAAAGTGGCATTCAATCCACAAAGTAGTTGCACATGGTGACCATGGCAAAGCACAGTTCTCGAGAAACGAGTGTTCGGAGGCAAGAAAATCTGAAATTTTTCTTTTCGGTTTCGGCAATCAGCTGCTGCGAGTCGTACATCAACTTTTAGCAAACCATCATTGTTTATGAAACATTTAGCTGAAGGAGGCTTGATGTCCGGCTAGTGTCTTTTCCGTCTCTGTTTGTTTTCATTTCTTCGTCGAAATGCTGCTCTGGCACGTCTCATAGAAAAAGGTTGACTCCTAACTTGCGAAGCTGTTTGCGATCGTCGGTGTTCTTCCTCAAAAGTTTCAGGGCAAAATTGAAACTGAAGCTCCGGTGCGGAGAATTTACCAAACGATCCCTATTGCTCGAACCCGAAAAACTTCGCGCTTTTTTGTCTATCCGGCTTTTAGTCTTGGTTGCTTTGAATGCTTCTGTGATTTCCTTCCCACCAGCTGTCTCTGTGACCAGGTTGCTTTCGTCGAAGGACCACTTGAGCTCGTTCTTCTCTTCATTTGCTTCGATAATTTTTGTTTAGGCTGTCTGCAACCAAGAGGTCTGGATCATCAAAGTTGCAATTTTTGTAGTTCAGCTGCTGCTACTGATCGAGTTGTTTGATCGGCAGGTTTTTGATGAGTCGGAACGTATTCCCACTTGTCGGCTGCTAGCATTTGTTGAATTTTGGCAATGCAGTCGGCTACAAAAGTAAACTACTTGCTTGGTGTTGAACTGATCTAAGCCAGTGATTTTGTTGCATTCATCACTTCAGGCGCTGATATCGTCTACCAATTAATTGCGAAACTTTGGCTGACTTGAAGATACATTTCAGGCGTTTACAGCCCAGAACCATTGTGCAAAGCTCAATTCATAGAACTCAACCTCTTTTCCTTGGTGCAAGTCATGACTTTGCAGCTAGTAAGCTAGGTTCCTGCGTCTAAAAAGATATAAGTCGAACTGCTAAAAATTGTCCTTGGCCAAGTACCGAGGTACAGCCGGAGAAAACAAGAGACCTCAGCTAAACATCCAAAGTTGGAATTGGTGCGCAAGAATTGCCCCAACATCGTCATCTCGTCATTCCACCTTAAATTTACATCCCATGTTTTTGGAATAGTATTTTCGGCATTATGGTCACTGCTCCAAGGGGATCCAATTTTGTACCAAGTTGCTTACTATCATCCGGTGAGTAATTATAGGTGCTCGAATGCTTTCAGGCAAACCTGATGAATTGCCTTCCATCATTTTAGGAGGATTTCTGTATGTCTTTCTCCTGTTTCCAGTTTGTTTTAGCTGACCAGAGGATGCTGGGTGGCAATTTGATTGTGTTTTTCGCCATTTGAACAACTGTGGGTAAAACTCTAGATCTCTGACTTCAGGAAAAAATTTTGGGCATGCTTGAAAGAAGTTCTGGTTTTTAATGGGTTTGATTTCTCATTTTTCCGGTTTGAAATTTTCTGAAGATAACCAAATTGATATCCAATTGAACCCTAGAGTTTTGAAGCTGAGAATAAATCTTTTTTTTTGCGTTTTGTATAGAGTAAATCGTCCATGACGACCTTGGTGTTGTTTGCCCACTTTCGAATTCGCAAACTGACTTATCCCAGAGTTTCGGTGATACTCTGACGGGTTCTGATGGATACTTCTTCAGTATCTGCACCACCGATGTAGTCGTCCACGTAGAAGGTCACGCGAATTGCTAGCTTTGTCTGTTCATCATCTGTTTTTTCGGAGCTGCTTGACAAAACTCGCATTAGGTGATAACTACTTGAAGCTATGCCGTAGATAGCACGAGTCATTTGGTACTTCTGAAATTGATCATCTTCTTCTCTTCTCCAGTAGAGCCGGTGTAAATTTCTTTCTTTGAGGTGTTTTTTTGTTTACCTGTACATCTTGCTAATGTCGCCAGCTAGTACAATTTTGTAGAATCGGAACCTGACAAGGTTGTTGAAGAAGTCTGGCTGAAGCGTGGGACCAACCAGCAGACAATCGTTCAGGGTATTTTCTAGTTGAAGTCGGAGCTGAATTGTTGCAAACAGCCCTGCATTTTTTTGTTGAATCCGACTTCCTAAGTGCAAACTGCATGACGAGGCATGATGAAATTGTTCCCAACTGGCAGAAAATGATCTGTCACAGGTACCTTCTTTTTTTAAATTAAAGTAGTTTCGTGCGTAATTGATTGAAGGATCTGAACGAAAGAAAGAACTTGGGTGTAGTCCATGGTCATAGTATTATAGGCATGTTGAATAGCAGTTGTTCTTGTGCTTTTTTATTGTCGTTTGAATCAGCCTGCAAAGGATTTAATACAGGTGCGGCTTAGTGGGAGAGGGCTGGAGGCGGAGGCCTTCCTTACTTCAAGGATCTGACCTCCTCACCAATCAAACGGTCCCCGCATCCGGTTTCAAGCGTTAGAAATCGATTATAAATTGATTTTAGTACCAGTCTTACAAAAATTGAAAAAATTGATTTTAATGAATTATTAATCGATTATAATCTCTTTTTTTAAAACCAATTATAATCAATTATATTACATTATAATCGATTATTTATATCGAATTTTCTAAATCGTTTTTGCAGAAAAAATCTATTATTGTCGATTATAGTTTACAATCCTTTTGGTTTGCCCATTTTGTCTTCGACATTGCACCTGAATTGCCTAGATTTTATGCTTTTTGTAGACAAAGGCTCATGTGAAAAATGGGAAAATTGTTTTAACAGATTTCAAATCAATTAAATTTTATTTCGTTTTTATTATTTAATTTTTTCTTGATTATAGTCGTTTCATGATGAACATTTAAAGTTTTTTTCACTACCAAAATATCAGAGCAAAGTTTTAGTTTCATGATTTATATAGAAGAATTAGATTTCGTCTACCGCGGGATTGTTTCAACTAAAATGAAGTGATCTCCTTGAAATTTTTGTTTCGTGGTAGATTTTTGTGTTCCGATGAACCAAAGAGTGACAAGTCATCTCACTTTTAGAGATTTTTGGCCGAAAAAAAACATTATAGTATATTATAATAGATTATAATAAATTATAAGAGATTATAAGAAATAATTATACATTTTCTGTTGACCAATCCTAAAAAAAATCAAATAATAACGAGGATAACTGTTTGGTGTATAAGTAGGACAGAATGTTCCGACCTAGTTTTCATTAAAAAAAACTACAACCTTTTTCGTTCAAAAAGCGTCGTTTTGTGTTTTTGGTGTGATCTGTGAATCTACAAAAACTTTGAGCTTCGATACAAAAAATAAATTGAGTACCTTTGACAACAGTTTTCCACGTGAACTAAATATATATATATTTAAAATTTCTACAACATTTGCGAAAATTTTTTCAAATTTTTCGCAGAACTTTTTTGCTTGTTCTTAAAATTCTTATTTTTAAGAAAGCGCTACAAGCGTTTTTACAAGCCTGTTACAAACCTTTTTTGGTCAAAAAAAGGACAAAAAATCAAAACTATACAACCGGTTTTTCTCGGCATAGGTAAAATTTTTTGAAAGTTTTACAGTGTCATTCGAATTACGTCTAAAATGGTTTCAAAATGATGATCAATCGAGCCAGTCCGATAACTGTTTTTGGTACCTGTTTTTGCGTGGAAAACACAAAAAAAACACCCCTTTTAAAAAGATCCTCCCCATTTTCAAGGGTCGGAACAAACAGCATACATGGCATTTATAAACTTCAAGCCCCCTCTTTCAATACTTCATTTCCTCTAATTCTCTTCACAAACTTCTGTGATCGGAAAATTGTGTGCTAATGCACAGTAACTAATTAATCATGTTGTTCCGAGCGCCAACTTTGTGAAGACTTGTGAATATGGATGTTTTTTATAGAAGCAGCAAAAACATCCGAAAAAAATCAATGAAGATGTTAAATTTGTCAGAACGATCTGAGCAACTTGTCAATCTTGTTTTTTTTAGATTCATATCATTCAATGACATGAGAACCGGTTACGAGTTACACGTTCCAGATTTGAAGTTTCTCGAGAAGCCGACACGCGCCAGTTGTGCTTCTTCGTGCAATCTTACACCTGCCTGTAAATCCTTCAATTTCTGCCACAAGAGATTCTGCTACTTGAACGAAATTGATGCATTTGATCTCGCAGTTCGAAACTCACTGAAAGAATCCGAGCACTGCTTGTACGGAGGAATGCTGCTGGAAACAAAGCCGACGTGCAATGAAAGCGGCATCGCGAAGAGCATACGGGTATATATTACTTAACCAAGCAGTTTTTCAATTTTAAACTAATGTTAAAAAAAACTTTGCACTAAATTCAAAAATGATCATTTTCCCCGAACTGAGTCTTTCAAATAAGTGGCCCTATTTTTAGCTCGTTTCAAGAACGTTAAAGGTTGTCTTCGCGTAAAGCTGTTTTTCCTACAAAAATTGACGAAATTAAAAAAAAACTTGCTTAAAAAAGGTTATTTCGCAACGCGAATAATTTGCAGCATCTTGCAAGAATCCAGCAATAAAATCATAAAAAAGCTGCATCATCTTTTAAATAATCTTGCAAATTTTTTGCATGATAACCCTCTGTGGTGGGCTTTATTTTGCGAGTTGTCTTTCTCTGCAAGTTTTCGCGGTACCGCAACATCTTGCAACAAAAGACAACTCGCAAAATTTAAGAAAAGCGGCAACCCGCAAATCTTTCAATTTGGATTAAAATGCGGCGATAGCAAGTAGCGACCACTTGCTCGGCTTCCCTAGCTCTTACATCCTGCAGCATAGAAACGGCGCCCATAGAAAAAAATTTGGATCGAAAAAATACAAAAAGAGAATCTTTAGGACGACAGGGGGTCAAATCCTTGAAGGGCAGGATGCGTCACCCTCAAATCCGCTACAGGTTTATCTTCAATTTTTTTTTCAGATCAGTTAGAACTTAAAAGTAACTGAAAAGCATACATTAAAATTTTCAATTATAACTTGTACACAGAGGCAAAGCGGAGCTTCGCACCATTTGCGATGCAACACTAACATAAAATAAAAACATAAAAAGCCGAAAATGAAAACTTTTTAAACAAAAACTAGGTCATATAAATTTTCATATGTCTCGATAGAAGTTCATTCCACTCAAACATTTCAGACATTTGATTTTTAAATCAGCAACAACGGAACAAAATTTACGAAAAGAAACAAAGCCGACAATTTTTGAGCAGACACAATTTGAGCCGAAGCAAAACTTGAGTTCATCAAAAAAGTCCCACCTCAACAACAATGGACAACAATTGCACTTGCAACTACAATGAAAGTTTCTGCAAAAAAAAATCAATGATGTGGCAACAAAGCCAACCATCTTTGAGCAAACACCAACTGAACCGAAAAAAAAATTATGAAAATTTGATACTGAACAAAACAAGATCGGGCCACGACTCGAACCCCAGACCTTAGGGTACAAAGGCTACTGCTTTGCTTCCAGGCCATGGAAGAAGATACCTGGATCACGATAAGAGAAGGTAACAAGAGAAGTGGAGAAAAGAAGAAAATTGAAAATAATTGATTCAACTGATTTTGTTAAACTAGTTGTTAACCAGTATATAAAAAATTAATTGTTAAAAATTGTTAAAAAAAAGTATTTATTCAGTTTGATAAAGCTTGCTTATTGCAAGCGTAATAAAAATAAGTATAAAAATTGGCGGAAAAAAATATCAAAATGATTTAAATCAATTTATATTGTCTTGAAAACAAAGCCATATAGAGAAAAGGATGGATTTCAATCGATTTAGAATCAATACAAAATGATTTTTCACATTTTGAAATGAGATCAATTTAAGTTGATTCAGAATCGATTCAAATGGGGTTTTCACCGGTTTGAAATGCGATCAACTTCAATCGATTTGAAATTGATCCAAATTCATATTTTTTCTGAATACCTTTTTGATACTAAAATCGGTTTAACCCTTTTTTCTCATTGCGGGACATTACTACTAACTATAGTGGTGTTTTAATTTTTCGTTACTAGCTTGAGGAACTATCACGCTAAATAGCCACGAGATTTCTTACAACGTTGATATAAAATTTAGGACGATGAAATGCCAGGCGACTGTGCAATGAACCAGAAGCGAATGGACAGCATTGGAGAGTGGGTGTACATGGAGGAGAAGGATTTAGATGAGTTTTTGAGTGTGTGGATATCCTTCAGAGAGAGGCAGTGCAGCATCTCTGCTCACGGTGGACAGGACAAGTGTCTGCTGGACGAACCTGAGACTGAGATTCTAAAGGGGTATGCATGTGGTTATGTCCTACGAATATGTGGTTCATAGAAACAGAATTGGTCGGGAGATTTTATAAAAACTTTTTAAAAAATAGTTAAATAGAGGACTGGGGTGTTGGGGGGGGGGGCTGTTTATTCTTTTCAACAAAATTTGAAAATTCGTCATCCAAGCACTTTTTGACAGTAACCGTTTTCACCCACCAGCGGTAAAAAAAACTACTACGGCCAGGGGTTGCTTTAGGTAGGGCGGGGCGCACGCCCCCCCCCCTCAGGGATTCGACCCCCTGCCGACCCAAAGGGTCCCCACTTTGTACTTTTTTGAGATATCCATTTTTCTATCCTTCTAAAGGCGCCAAAATATACTAACTTTAAGGGGAGAGCGCGCGCCGAAAAAACACGATTTTTTGGACATTTTCCAAAAAGTGCCTAAGTGAGGTCTTAATGGTAATTTGGAAGAACTCGGAAAATCAATTCGGCCGACCCAAAAAAAAGTCAACCCCCCTCGCGAAAATCCTAGATAAGCCCCTGACTACGGTAACTTTAGTTTTGCGCTGTTTAATTTTTAAGCTACTTTTTAGTTAACCAGCCAAAGGCCTAACCCGGAGGTTAACTACTCAAGGTTAACTAAGCTGTGACAATCTTACAAGATTTTTTAATATTTAAAAAGGCCACAAAATTAAGCGTTCGCTTGCTTCTAGAGTTAAGAAAAACAAATTCAGAATCAGCCCGATGACGGAATCAGACATATCTTCATTGACCATTATTCAATTATTTATCTCCAATTAATTATGATGAACTATGATACAAATTAGTTAGAAGTATGATGTTCTAGCTGACATTTTGACGGGCTAGTAGATAACCGTAGGAACTGGGCTGTCTCAACCATAAGTATTGATATGAAAAAATTTCATTTAAATTATGATTGAGTTTGAACTTAAAGGTATTTCTGGCGTGAAACTCCGATGGCCTTCCTTGGAGCCCAGGAATATTGCGCGTACGGTAACGGCTTTTTGTGGGATGGATCACACACTTCTGGGGTGGAGGAATGGAATTTTGTGGCGTCATTACTGGATTACCGCAACTTCTGGTTGGGATATAACTTCAGGTACGCAATGTAAGAGGGCAGAGAAGGATAAGATCGTAAAAAAGCAATGATCGCTTATTCGATTTCTTCTAACTTCGAAAAAATCGAGTGTAAGCAAACCAGCCTCTAAGTACAGTCTCTAAGTTTTCTTTACAACTACTAGACATTAATGGCTGAAATTGTTTAACAGATTACAGCCGGATAAAAACCGTAAACAGTTGTTTTGAAGGCGTTATTTGGCCATTTAATCAGTGAGATTCAGAATGGTGTTCTTAGAGCCAATAAACCCGTAAACAGCAAAAGATGTTTAAAACATTGGATTTAAATTTATTCGTTGTGAAGCTTAGGGTCCAAGGTACGCCCTCATAGGTTTCTTTTCACATAAATCAGAAATAGAAAACGTGTTCAGGTCTTAGACAGAAGTTAAGCCCTTAAACTCTGAGTTAACTTCAGTTTCGTAGCAGAAAAATTTTTTGTGTTCCTTTTTAACCAAGGGAAAACCTATATGAGGCCCTAGTCAAAACCCGTAGCTTTCCAACTAATAATTTTGTGTCAAAAGTTTCAAACGTCTTCTGCTGTTTACGGGTTATCTGGCTCTAAGAACACCTTTTTGGCACTCTCTAATAAAATTGTCAAACAGCGCACTGAAAACAACTTTTTACGGTTTTTTTATCCGGCCATAACTTAATTAACAATTTCATCCATCTTGGGGCAAAATTTCAGCCATAAATCTCTAGTGGTTGGAGAAATCAACGTGAAAAAATTTTCGTTCATCTTATCGCTTGAAAACTAAAAGTTGCAACTTTTATATCCCGTGAATGCAGTAAAGCAGCTTAAAATGCGCAGAGTATATAACCAGCCAAGTTTTCTTAACTGTTATAGAAATGTTACATAACTATTATGTAACAATTACGCAATTTTGGTCGGTTTATATACCACCTAAAAACATTCTGAAACCTTGCCAGTTGGGACTTTTTCGACAACAACGAGCTTCAAATGTTTCCTAAGAGTGAAGATAATACAAACAGAAAATGTAGTGACTACGTTCCATTTTATTTCCAGAGTTTTTTCAAAATAGTTTTTCTGTCCATCAAAAAATTTAATTTTTGATTTTGCTGTTACAACAAAAAAGCTATTTATAAAGATAGCATGCTAATACTTATACATCTATAACTTAGGTGATTAACAAAAAATGTTCAACAGATGAAATTGCGGTAACGACTAAAAACTAACAAGGTTTTTTTTTAAGATTTGGAATGACATTTCCCCTTAAGCTTAAATTTTACAAAACAGCTCAGTTTTTACAAAGATCGAAGTTTTTTGAAGTTTTCTGAACAAAAACATTGAACTTGAATCAGTGAAAAATGTTTTGTTCAATAAAACCTAATTTCTGAAAACCAGATGCGACTCGAATCTCGTGATTGAGAATCACTCGTCTGCAATATTTCGGAATTGACATTTTCCTTGCCATAAAACAAATAGAATGAATACAAGTTAAATTCAGCCACCAAATAATCGAAATTGAGTCAATGAGCAAGGAAAACAAAAAATTACATATCAAGTCAAATTTAAATCCCCATAAAACTAAGCAAAAAAAAGTAATGAGATAAACCTCAATAGGTTATTTTTAGTTAAGTTTGAAAATAATCGATTCAGGCATTTTCATGCTACAAAATTTTGCATTTTTTTTGAACAAAGCAAATGAATTTGAATTTAACTTAACAAAATCGAAACTTAAACTGCGAAAAATCAAACTTGGGCATAAAGAAATTTTAAGACATTTTTCCTGAAAAAAGCACGCCTCGATAAGTGACAAATCACTTCATTCATTAACACATAAAAACCGCAAATAACACACGCCATTCAAAACCACCATTTACAAACCCAACTGTTGACACAAACTGAACACAAGAATCAATTGGGAAAAGATAACGTTAATATTAATCATACGATAAACGATTCAGCAAAAGTGGCACCAAATACAAACAGACTCAATTTTGCAAGTAATAATTTTGAATATAACAAACAGAAGGCATCCACAATAACGTTGCATGTAACAAATCGCAAATCATAAAGCCACATTATGAATTAAATATGCATTTCACAAAACTGCGAGCTATAACGAGTTAGAAAGCTTCTGAAATCGAGGTTTCTTTATTGTTACATTGTGATGTGAATTACTTTGCTTTAAACTAAAATTTTGAACTCTGCTCTGAATCAAAACGATGTCACGTCATTTCCATTTTCGTTTTTGGAGATTTAGGTTGGAAAAAGCAGGTTCGTACTATTACACCCGTTTCGCGAGAGTAAAAAAACTGGATCGAAAGACAAACTTTTTATTCCGCCGGGAAAACTGAAAACTAATTTCACTTTTCAAAACTGGAACTCGAAAACGTTTTTCACAATTTTTCTAATTTCGCTAGGCGATAATGAAGTTAGTCTTCCTTTCAACCAAAGAAATGAAGTGAATTTAAAATTAAATCAAAAGTGGAAGAAACTGTGTAAAAGTGTGAATTTGGAAATGTGTGAAAAACATGCATATCGAAAAAGTTTTTTTTCATCAACTTAGTCCATTTTTTAAAGTTGGACATTTTGCTGTTCAATAGTGGAGCTTGATTCACAAAATTTAGTTTTTTTTCTATCCTATTTAGAGAAAACTGGACCAATAGGTAATTTTGTTTACGTTTGCAATTCATTGAATTATATCTCATTTTTGAGATAAGAATTCATTCACGTTTTTCTTGACTTTTACACCTTTTCTGTTCAATCGTAGAGTTGGTCCTCCTTATAAAAACGTAATTCGAGTAGACTTGAAAAAAAAACAGAAGTCTAATGGCCAGAAATCACACCTGAGCAAGAACGAAATCTGAAGTTTCCTAAAAAAAACACCTTAGCTTATGTAATTGAAAAAACGCCGTTCTTTTCCACTTAACGAAAAAATTAAAATTATCTGCTATGTAAAGCCAGCGAACAGCTGTAAATTTTTTTCATGAACTGGAGTTTTATAGACAAAAAGTATCAATTTGAAGGTTTTTGAGTTTTCAGAATATTTAATGCTTAACACTTTTTGACACCAATTACGATCTATTGCAAACATACCATGGTAATCAAACCGATAAAAAACTGAAAGAAAATCCCATCGCGGAATTATTCGAAAAAATTATCCTAAGCTAGCAGAAGGAAATTATTTAGTAATCAGCAGTAGAATAATATTGAAACAAAACATTACGACGGAAACAAAACTTATGAATCGGTTACTAAGCCGACAAAAATGTTTGAACCATTTCACTGAAAAAAAATTTTGGCCTCAGTGCTTTTCGAATTGCAAGAATCTTTGATCATTGATTTTTCTGATAAACTAATCCATATGAGAAAACTCGGTCAACAGACAAATTTTTTTATTCTGCTAAAAAATGAAAAGAAAAACCAAGCCAGGCGATGACTATCAATTTACCCCGCCAGAACTAAATGACTACTTTTCCTACAAACTTCAAAATTGAAATTATCAAATGTGATGTGAATTACTTTGCTTTAAACTAAAAATTTCAACTCTGCTCTGAATCGAAGTCGATATCACTTCATTTCCACTTTCGCTTGTGGCAAACAAAAAAAAATTAAATTCCGCTATTAAAAAATTAAATACGAAGCGCATAAAATCAAATTTGAGAGGAAACAATTAGTCAGATAATTTCCTGAAAACAAAAAAACCCTATTTAAAGAGCTACTTTCACCCTTTTCATAAAAACTCAATAAACTCGTATTTATATCTGGTAATGTAAAAAAACGCCCAGTCAAAAGTGATATTACTGTTAGCGACCTTTTAAACTTTATTTTGCATATTCGCTTATGTCAATTAGTTAACACCTGCCAAAAGCGCAACGACTTCTGGCATATCTGAAGTTGGAGTCATTAATCGTTTCTTTTGCAAACAATCTCGTTATCTCAACCAATCTTAATTAAACCTTTTAACTCCGTTTTATTCTCTTAGCGTAGTCCTAATAAACCGTCTTTTAATCTAGCCTTAGATAAAAGTCTATTATCCGTTAGTAGAGATCTCCAACATATCACGTCTTAAACTAGTCTTAGTTCAAGTTAACCTAATTATTCTTAGTTACCTAACTTAATCCAACTTTTTAACATGGCGCAGTCAAAAGAGTCGAACCAACAAGGCCTAGAACTTTTCTGGAATAACGCATCAAACGAGAACCAATATGATTGGGAAAAATGGTCAGAGAGTTTCAATTAACAATCATTGCTTAAGATTCGGTGGATGTCGAAGACGTGATTAACACTCCGGCGAGACCCGAACTAATATATCCCATCGCAGAAATAGCGGAACCTTCTGATGATCAATCCAGTCGGGCCGAAAAGGAAGATAGACACAAACAAGCCCTACAAGTCTACCACGAAGAGGTGAGGAGAAAAGCAGAAGACAACGCGAAGTTTAATGGACTTCAGATCGGCGATATCGACAAGAAGTAAAGGTCACAATTGTATTTGGCACTCGGGAGAGAAGGACAAAATGCTTTTCACATAAAAGAAAACTGGACATAAATTTCGCAGAATTTTGGGATCTACTAAAAACAACGTTCACTGTAACTACAAACCTGACCTACGAGAGATACAAATTTCTTGGCCGAATGCAGAAAGATGACGAGACATTCGAAAAATTCCAGGAAACTCTCGGAACTGGCAAAAAATTGTTAACTGGGCGAGCTTGAGGCAGAATCAGTTAGAGATATTTTTATCACAAATATGCGAAAAGTCGAGATTCAAAAAAAAACAACTATGCATCGAATAGTTGACCCTAGAAAACGTGCTGGCATATGTACTTGCTCATGAGAAAGGTACAAAGATACATCAAGAGTACTTGAAATTTCCTGTATATAATCCTGTACAAAAACCTCAACGTGTAAAAAACGAACCAACTGTAAATATTGTAGAAAGTAATATATGTCGAAATTGTGGTCAACAGTTCAAAAAGGGACACCTTACATCATGTCCTGCTAGAGATAGGAGCTGTAACACGCGTGGGCGCAAAGGTCATTTCGCCAAACATTGTAGAAGTGCAGCCAGAACACGAATTAATATAGTTGCTCAAAATTCACTACCCGAACCAGAAAATTACAGGGCCAACCCACAGGATAATCCCGAGTTTGAAATTGACCTGGAAGACTTCCTAGTCTTAGCGGTAGACATTGACAATCAAGTAAAAGCGGTGAACGACAAAATCGAAGGAGGAGTGAGAACTGTATTCAATCATGAAGGTCTGGAACTGAAAAAGTCACTTATGGTATCATTGGGAAAAATTAAGCCCTCCTTTACTGAAACACGAATCGATTCAGCAAGTCGGGTTTCGGTTATGAAGAAAGACCTACTTCATGAATTGAAAAAAAAGAGACAGATTTCTAAAGATAGAAGCAGTCGACGAGTTCACGAAAAAAGCAAATCAGGGCTTCGGGAGTACGATAAATATCATTGGAAAAGTTATAATGAAGATTCAATCAAAAGGATGGGATGCCAAGGATCAACAACTGTTTATCACTGAAGGGAAGAAAGATATCTATACATTCCAAAATTTCAGTGTATTCAAATTTTAATTCGCGAACAGGAGACTGCATTCCATCTTGTAAAACTATCGATTTTTCTACTAACTACAAAACTTTTAAAGACATCTCTGATCAATTTGAACTAACCGAACAACCTGAAAACTCAACTGTATACAATGCCCAAAACTTAAAACCCAGTACTAGCAACCCGTCATGTACATCTGAGCAAACTTTCATTCAAGAAAAAAGTTCCAAGCCGGTCAAACATAAATTATTCCCGTTCTCATCGCCCGAAATCTTTGATTCTAAATTCATGACATTATTGACAAAGCAAGACCTTGTATCAAAGAAAATTAAACACGCAATCGAAGAAGACAGAAAACATGACATCGCACTACTGGGAAACTATTACAAACCTTACATCAACAACTTGCACGTTAACGGAGGATGCCTTTACTTTGACGGTAGATTAGTTATACCTGCATGTTTGAGGACGACGATGCTTCACAGGTTACACGAAGCTCACCCAAGCCAGTTTGCGATGAAAAGTCCGGCAACCCTCTACATCTGGTGGCCTAAAATCTACAGAGAAATACAAGCACACTGAGAGAATTGCATCTGACAAAACATGATTAACTTGGAAAACTTCCAACGGTCGTTGAACCAAATCAAGAAATGGAATTGGACTTTGCCGGCCCGTTAACTTGGGGAACAAAAAAAATACATACCCGTATGCGTTGATCGATTTTCAAAACTCCCATCGGCACAAATAACATCAAGCACATCTGCCAAATCGGTCATAAATTTTCTTAGAAAATACATATCTTTGCATGGAATACCCAGAACTATTAGAGCGGACCAAGGGTCGGGATTTATTTCCAAGAAAGTCAAAACATCAACGTCATATTCATTCCAGTGGGTGACCATAGAGCTACGGGTCTGGTCGAGCGACTAATTAGAACAATTAAAAAACGACTAATGGTTATGGCACAAAAAAATCAGAAACCTTCCTTAGAAATTGCATTACTAAAGATCATAAAATGCTTAAGAACAGTAACACAACAATCACTTAACTGCTCCCCCTTTGAAGCACACTTCGGTAGATCACCAAACACGATTTGGCATAATTTAGTTAAACTACCATCGTCAAGAAACCTGGATTGTAACAAAACACTTATGTATAAAAAAAGGACAAAAACTAATGTGCCGGGACAGACGACATGACTAGGATGCCCCTGATGACATTGAAGACGGACACCTGGACGAAGAATCATCATCATCAGACGATATATCTACTGCATTAGATATGTACCCACAAGCTCCGGTTCCCCTGTCAAAGTTCTCTCTCGCGCAGAGAAAAGAAAAGCTCTAGGTGTGGAAAATCTCGTCTTGAGTAACCCGTCGGGTAAGACCCTTATCTATAGAAAAGTACAAGATAGAAGGAAGGACGGACCATACTATAAAGAACTAAAGAAGAAATAGTAAGGGAATCGGATCATACAATTGCGCTTAAAAACGGGAAAACAATTCGTAAATCTGATTTAGATGTGAAAAGACCCTCTGCACCGAAAAAAAATAATCCTCGCAAGAAAAATCAACTCGTCAAGTTTTATGCCACCAAAGGACCCAGGAAAGTCACGAAACCATCGAGAAATGTTGGATTTAAGAGCTCCAAGTTTACACGAAAGAAGAGAAACTTACAGGCAAATTTTGAAAAACTGGATATCGCACGATGAAACGCGGCAATGAACAGCTCGAGGGAAACACTGCTTCGAGAGGAAGAGGAGGAGACAAAACGTTTAAGGTACCCTATTGGCCTAGAATGTATCCAGGAAGCAAGCCCGCCGGGCCAACCAATCCGTCTGCAAAAATGAACACACTCGAAATATCTTTGACAAACCCACCTGAAAAGATATCTGATGACGATACCAGCGACCTTATCTTACTTAAAGATCTGAAACCATTAGTTACAGAAATATTAGAAAACCGACAAGACAAGTCAGCGCAAGAATTAACTAATTTCAAGCAGGAAATGCCCCGAAAAAACGAAGGAGCAAAAGGTTTGTCATACGCCGATTGACCTAGATACAGGGGCCAATAATTCCGACCAACGCGCGACCTCACCACTTATTCAGTTAGACAGCCACGATGAATCTGACAAAAATCTACCAGAACGAACCACCACAAGCCAAGAACCAGAGTCAACCAACTCAACAACTTATCAGCCCATAGAGCCGCATACAAAGATGTACACAGAGAACCTTTCAAAGAACCTTAACCCTACCCAGAGCTCATCAAAACCTAAACTAACGGGTATGGCTTAGCGGAAAGCCTCTTCGCCTCTGAATATCGCCGCCTCCAAGTAAATTGTCCGATATTCATATTCGCCACAATACCAGACAGATTCGGACCAGACAACCACCGTCGTTATTCGGAGAGAGAGTATTCACTAGCCTTGTAGAAACCTCGGACGATAGACCAGGAGAACACATGTCAACCTACGTTACAACCCACCATCTACTACAACTTTAGAAGCTATCACAATAGAGTCAGCAAGCCACCAGATAGATGTCGTCGACCTTACTTCGCCCTCAATTTCTTCCTCACAACAACCGACCGTAGTTAACTTCACGGAAGCGGAACCGACCCGATAGACAAAATAAAGCCATTTCTTACCCTCTCACCACTCCGTTCTCCTAAGAAAGTCCAATTCAAACCGGAAGTGCGGAAGACTGAATTTAACCCATCGGGTCTACCCTCCGAACCTGCAGATGCTGTAGAGACGCCTATACTGTACAATCCTGACTGTCTTAATACTACTTCAATCATTGCAGCAATAGAGCTACTGGGACGACCTATGACTTTCGATGAACTTGTGTATAAACTCCGCGTAATCATAAACTTTCTTTTCAGTCAAAAACTTTAACTCTTTCTGATGTCATTTTCTTTTCTTTTCTCTCTCACTCCGCTAACTTTAGATTATTACCTTGAAGTAAATTTCAAAAAACTAGCTCATTTGCAAAGGTAGAGCTTTATGTCGATTAACCATTTACCTACATTAACATCACTCTAGTTGTTGTTCAACTTATTTTCGGGTTCTGGTAGTCAAATGATATTATACCGAATTACTCTAGTGCTAGATACTTCTCCGATTGGTCGACATCCTTGGGCCCTTTTGTTGTTCCGTTAATTCACCCCCTTGCCTTAGCATACTACTTGTGGCACCCCCTTGCCTTAGCATACTATTTGTGGGTGAAAAGTATATGTTAACTTAATTTAAATTTTCGCGGGGAATGTCAAAAGGATATAACTGTTAGCGACCTTTTAATCTTTATGTTGCTTATTCGCTTATGTCAATTAGTTAACATCTGCCAAAAGCGCAAAGACTTTTGGCATATCTGAAGTTGGAGTTATTATTCGTTTCTATTGCAACCAATCTCGTTATCTAAACCAATCTTAATTCAACGTTTTAACTCCCTTTTATTCTCTTAGCGTAGTCTTAATAAACCCCGTCTTTTAATCTAGTCTTAGATAAAAGTCTACTATCCGGTCCAAAAGTCTACTAAAAGTCTTAAAGTCTACTATCTTAATCCAACTTTTTAACACGCCCATAATAACTTTTCTAAACTGGCTGTTATTTCTTCGTGTGCCAACTGAAGTGGCTGCTCTGGTTGAATGTGAAACTACACACTTTGCACTCGAATGCAAGCACAGTAGTGCAAGCTAACGAACAGAACATAGGACAGAATTAACGAAATCGAAAAAAAAAACATTTTGGGAAAATTATGAAAATAGCTTCAGACAAACAATAGAAAACCAGAACCAAGATTATTAGATAAGCTTTTAGTATTTAACGAGCAAATACTACGCCGACAAAAAGTAGGTAGACACATAGCTAGTTGGAACAGACAGTTGGAAAGAGTCATGTACGCAAGGAAGCAAAAAAAACACTGACTTGTTTTTTTTTAACTTCAATTTTCGAATTTCACAAAAAATATATGGCTGTAAGGCCCTTTGAATTTGAAAAAAACAACTGTTTTTGACGCTTTTTTGATGAAAAATAACCCAAATTGAGAAAACTGGATCAATTGGTAAACTTTTTATTCCGCTGGGAAATCTGAAAACTAAATTCCACATTTGAAACTAGAAGTCGATCACGTTTTTTGCAGGGCTGTCATATTGTTAACTAAAACGTTTTTAACATGTTAACATGTTAATTATATGAAAAAAACACGTTAAAAACAAAATTGAGTTTTAAAATCACTCATTGAGTTGTTTAAAGAGAAAAGCCAGCTTTCCAGCCTTCTCGACGCCCAAAGAACTTCGGAGTTTTCCATAAGTGAGTCCGAGAGTTGAGAAACACCGCTCCAATCCTGCACTGGAGGAGATAGCATTGGCCAGTGTCGATGCATAGTCGACCAATTCTTTCGAGAATCCCAGTCGAAGTCCACTTCTCCACCAAGCTTCACTCTCGACCTTTTTGTAACCCTCAGCAAAAAGGTATTCGTTATAGGGAGGAACTTTTGCCATGTAATTTGTGAGCTCCGGCATGATATTTTCACCAGCCGTTTCACGGATGTAGTCGATGGCTTGTCTTGTTTCATCCGGATTCTGGTCCTCTCCGGCATACTTGTGACTTGAACAAGATATTCTGTTGTGTGACTTTCTCCAATAGTACTCATCGTGTTCACTAGATAACATTTGCCACAATGATAAAAGCTGACACCGAGAACAGGTTCATTGGTCAATGTCGACCAACCATCGATAGCAAGTGTGACGTTGGAGCCCGACACCATTCGCTTCACTTTCGTTTGTTCACTTGCATAAATTTCGTCCAGTAACTCTCCACCAATCCTTCGGCGATCTGGAACAGTTGTTCCTGGTCGCAGAAATTGGACAAGCTTCGCGAGATGCTTGTTTGACGCGGCATTAAACGGAGTGTTGGTTGCGATGAAATATCGAGTCACAAGGATATCGCTCTCATGCTGCCTCGTGGGATTAGTGGAGATGACATTGAGAGCTGTCTGTCTCTTCTTTGGAGCCGGCGGAGCAGATGATGTTGTAGTGGCAGAAGATGTGGATTGCTCCTGGATGTCATCGTCATCGTCCACATTCCGGCAATCCCTCATGTGCTTCTCCATGCGTGCCGCATTGTTCACAACCTCAAAACCGCAGGTCTTGCATTTGGCCCGTTCAACGCCGCCAACGATAATCTCTTTGAAGCTGTACCACACGTCTTTCTTCTGCCGCGGCATGACACAATCTGAAATAAATATTTGTTAGTGTATGACGCATGCTGTTAGTACATCATGTGTTAAAAACAATGGTACCAATAGGTGTTATTAACATGTTAAATATAGGTCTGTTAATAACACCTTGTTAATAACATGACAGCCCTGGTTTTTTGTGAATTTTATACATCCGCTGATTGACAAAGGAGTTTGCCTTCCGTTCAAGTGTGCTTATAAACAAGTAAAATGAAGTAAACTTATAACAATCTAAATGTCAAACCACGAAAAATAAAATTTGTTCATGAACAAAATTTAACTTTTTCCCAAAAAAAAATCACCAAGACCTATATAAGAGTATTCACAACGTTCATGACTCTTAAACATATACAACGTCAAAGCTATTTACTAAATTACAGGAGTGAAACAAATACACTTGCATCTACAATAAAAAGTGCTGTCAGAACAAAAAACTTACCAATATGGCAATTGAACCGTTAAAACAAGCAGAGAAACGCAAGTCTGACAATTTCCATTTCCCAAAAATTCAATTTCAAGCACAATGAAAAAAGGAAGGTTCAGCCGGGGGTCGAACCGCATACCTTAGGGCACAAAAGCAAACGCGTTGCCTCTAGGCCATGTGGGAAGGGGTCTCGAATTTGCTATGGTTCATAAACAAAGCAAAGTCACAATTTCTTAAACTTGCAAAAAAAATTATTTACGGGAAAAAAATCAAATTCCCGGTTACAAACAAGACAAAGACACTGGCTCTCGCAATTGCAATTCTTTAAATTTTATTTTTAGGAATGATGCTTGGAGGAACAAAGACGACGATATGGTGAGTCACGAGATCAACTGGTGGCAGTTTGGAAGTACGAGCGCAGGCTGTGTCCTTTTCAACGCCAAAGCATTCAATGCAGATGGTCACATGTCTAGCGCATACGCCACGTCCTCTGACTGTTTTGAGGAAATCAATGTTATTTGCGAGATCGATCCAACCAGGCCATTTTTAAACGAAGACAATTTTTGAACGCTTATTCTTAGCATTATAAAAAATACTGTGGTCACGGAAAACGGAACTTTCAAAATGGCATGTTTTTTAAAAAAAAAAACCTCTTACTTAATGTAGTACCATTGTGTTGTATGTTGTGCTAATGTTACTAACCTTGGTTTTTTTCTAACCTAACTCGCAAATTGAATTGTTCAAAGTGTTCACTTATTTAGAAATTGCATAGCATGTTCTTTGTTTTATTTGTCACCAGAGTTTGAATAGTACCTATAAAGCTTCCGTGGCTGAGTGATTAGGGTGTGAAACTCTTAATCTCAAGGTCGCAGGCTTGCATCTCAGACGTAGCCGAGTTTTTTTGCTAATTCGAGGCTTATTTAAACTTTTTCGTATTGCACTTTTTAGAGTTACTTTTTTGTCGTGTTATCGCTAGTGTTTGCGAAGCAAGGCTTCACCTCTGTGTAAAAAACTAATTTTACAAACGTCAAGCATAGCCTTTAAAAACCTCGTCATTCGATATTGATAAATTGAAACGTTTGAGCAGATAAAATGAAACGTTTGAGCAGCCACTAAGACGACAACGAACAATGGTAAGACCCCATTGAGCAGCCGAAAATTTTTTAAAAATGCCATCAGAAAATGATGTCAAAAATTTCCAAGAATTAAATTTTAAAATATTGAAATTTGCAACACAAACTGACCTTTATTTCTCGAAAAACAACCACGACGCAAATTTGGAAAGAACACAAATAAGCCGAAACCACTTAGGCCGAATAAAGCTTTTGAGCGAAAAACGAACGAAAAGGAAAACTAAGAAAAGCATACGTCAGGGCCTTTAATTTTACAAATTCTAGGGGTAAATCAAAAACACTCGCATCTACGATTAAAAGCGGCGACAGCACGATAAAATTCACCGATGTGGCAACCAAGCCGACAAAACATAAGCAGACAAACGAAAGTCCGAAAGTTCAATTTTTCCCTAAAAAATTCAATTTTATACATATTGAAAAAGGGACTCGAACCCCAGACTTTATGGTACAAAGGCAACTGCGTTACCTCTAGGCTAAGTGGGAAGCAGTCTCGAAGTTGTTGAGCTTACCAAAAAATACAAATTGCATTTTAAACAAAAAACGGGAAACCAGCCGATACAAATAGGGACGAAAAACGAACTTTAACTTGAAAAACTCAATTACTACCCAAACAGAGAAATCGGTTTAATTGAACTTTTAAAAACTTGAGCCTGTCAGCCTGCAAGCATATCACAATGACGTCAAAAAGTGTAAGAAAAATTGTTTACGGGGAAAAAAGCCTACTTCCCGATTACAAGACACTTGCTCTCGCCAGTGTAATAAGAAAATCGCAACATTTAAAAGTATATTCTAATTATGATTGACTGTTTTATTTGGCCTCTATTGACTTCAGTTTTGCGGAAAGATTGAATTTTCTCTCAGTTTTCACTATCATAGGAATTTGTCGGTCCCCATTGGCGATGGTGAGGGTGAGTCCAGTCCTAATGATATTCTAGGCATGTAGATGTCCCACTTCGGTATCTCATCCTGCATGGACAAAGCATTCGATAGTGGGTCTTCATGGAGTTCTTTGTAACTTTCTAGTTGAGCTGAAACAATTCAAACTTAAACATAGCCACCATAAAGTTGTCAATGAACTCCCTTAAACCCCAAAAAAAACGGAGTAACTCTTTTCGAACATTTTTCAGAGTTCGAGGAAAACAGAAATCACGCTTAAACTATGACTTTCAAGAACTCTAATAGACAAAACTGGTCTGATACATTGTCTATCTATTCCGCAGCGAAACCTTAAAAACAAAATGCAAAACCGATATTTAAAGTTATTGAAGTCTTGTTTCTAGTTTACTTGTTTGGTCCCGTGACAAAACTAGTTTAGATGATTGGTCCCGCCTATTTTCTGCAAAGAAGAGCCAGCACGGGATTTGAACCAACGCCATGGGGTTAGTAATTGCATTCGTACCCGCTATACTAACTAGGCCTGTTTCGATAACATTATAGAAATAAAAATGCTTACTGATACAATTAGCCACATACTGTACCTCGATTTTTATTAGGTACCAAACAAGTAAACTAGTACCAAAATCGTTTAGCGCCATTTGCACTTTGATACGCGAGAGCCTCATTTGTCTTCCTCTATGTAAATGAAACTGAAGCGAATTTACGATGAAAACAATAACCAAATAGTGCAAAATCAAATTCGATTGTTATAAAAAAATTTTACGATAAAATTTTCCGAAAAAATTTATTGCACTCAAGGAAAGGAAAACACTAAATATTTCAAATTGGATCTTTTAATTAAAAAAAAATAGCATCAAAATGAAATTCTTTGAATAAAAAAGGTAATTGAAACAGTTTTGATACATCTAGAGCAATTTGAGAAAACTAATTCAGAAGGTAACTTTTTATTTTTTACTCAGCTTCTTGGGTACTATCAACAGGTATATTTCTTTTCCGCTGCAAATTCAGTGAATTAGTCTTTTTTAAACTAAAAAACATTCAAGTTTTTCGTGACTACTACATTTTTGCTGTTCGACAGTGGAGCTTGAATTAATAAAAAAAAAATCATTTTTTCTTTTTTAACATATTTAGACAAAACTGGATCAATAGGTATTTTTTTACACGCAGGCGAAGCTGAGCATCGCGCATATTGCGATACACCTAGATATACCAACACGATTGAATATAGTGGTGAAAGATCAGCATCGGAAGAAAATTAACCAAGCGGTGACAAAGCGGAAAATATTAAAGCAGAAACACTTCAAGCCAAAACTTTTTTCAATTCAAAAGTAATCATCAATTTTTATAACCCCCATAACCTCATAATGCACACAGGCAATAAGCTGATATAAAGCAAGCCGAAACCTATAAAGCCACAAAAAAAGAAACTTCAACAAACCGAGTGGTAAAAGTACAACCAAATGTAAATTGCGGAGGGAAGCGTTAAAAATGATATCCCTTGAAACGACCCAAAAGTAGGTCACCAAGTCGAGAGAAAAACAGACCGAAATAATTAGGGCCAAATAAAATTTACCGACAATTTTTTTTTGAAACAGAATAATTCCCGTTTGAAAAAAAACAGGTCCTTTTTTTTTTTTTTTTATTTGCCCCCGGCCTGCTCAGTGCAGGACCAACCGTGGGGGAGGGGGAGATGTCATCCATTTTGCCGCAGCCGGTCCCACCTTGAGGAGGCGGATGACACTGGGACCCCTCCAGCCGTGACCGAAGCGGGATTCGAACGCATGACCCTCGTGTTAAGAGAGATGTGCCTAACCCACTTGACCACGACTGCTCAAAACAGGTCCTGGTCACATCTGAACCCAGTACCCTATGCTGTCCCAGGCGCATTCGTTACCCACAGGCTAAGTCGACCGAGAAAGAAATTCGAATTAATTATGAAACAAGGTACCATTAGAGATGAGCCCAAAAGTACAGATGAGCTCTGTGATCAAAGTTATTTACGGGATAAAAAGTCTAGTGCACAGGTAAAAAAAAACAATTACAACAAAATTACCTACACCATTAAAGGAATACATCAAACACATTTTCAAAAATATTGAAAAACAATTACATCTCAAACAACAGTGGATTTAAGGCGAGAGCGAGAGAAGATCGGTCGTCATCCCCTCCGGTATCCCACCGCCTGACCACTACAAGGATCCCCTATAGTACTATTTTAAGGCATCCATTTAACGGATCGACTCTAAATTTTTGCTTAAGGCGCTATTGGTGCCAATATACACCACAGAAAAGAAGCGGAGCGTGGCACCACTTGCGAATCAATTAAAACATTGCATTATAACAATTTGAAAATAATAAAAAAGGGAAGTCTTTTATCAAAAAAAATTAAGCTGAAAAAATAACTTAAGAACAAAAAAATTAAGCTGAAAGAATAAAAAAGTCGAAAAAACTATCTTCTAAAAATTCAGACCTTTGTCTCCGACAATGATAAAAAAACAGCCCATTAAAATCAATGACCGAGCGGCAACTAAGGCAAAAAAAACTAGGTTTTACCCTCGTTAAGCCAAAAGCGAAACTGTACACAAAAAAAAATCAGTTATGTATACATTATGTATACATAAAAAATATATGAAACAGGCAAAAGCATTAACAACAAATCGCCCATGAAGTTGTGCAACATAAGATGACTAGTGATATAATTAAAACATTGTATTACAAGATTTTGAATTTAAAAAAAAACAAGCTGAAGAAATATCTTGAAAAAATTCCAAAAAACCCTTTCTACAAAAATTTAAAGACTTTTGTCTCGATTATCCGAAACAGTTTTAAAAAGCAAGCAAGGATAAACAATGGCCGAGTGGCCACTGGGGCGAAAAAACTTAGGTCGCCAATAGTTTAGCCGAAAACGAAACTGACGCAAAAAATTTTCAAGCTATAAAAATTTTATAGTATATTTTTACGACCCATGTCTCCTGAAAAACACAAAAGCAATTAAAACATTTCGCACTTGAAACTGTCGCAAATAAAATAACCAAGACGATACAACACATGCAGAAATCGTTTAACTTGAAGAAAACCAAAAAAAAAATCTTATGGTTTTAAATCAGAATTGGTACAGAGCAACTTTCAATTTTAGTAACAAGTGTGAATCAAAATTTTTGAAAAACGGCTTAAAAAAGAACCGCTTGAATAGCTTACCAGAAAACAAACATAATTTGTATTTGAAAAAAAAACGGAAACAGCCGATAGGTCCAGCGAATTATTCAATTGCCAGCAGTAGATTAGCATTAACTTAATAAGTTACGACTGAAACAAATATTATGAGATTTGAATACTAAGCCCACTAAACTACGGATTAATTTTGAACCGTTTTCAAAACAAAATATATGGCGTTAGAGCTTCAAAATGATTTCTTTGATGATTGATAAAACTAACCCAATTTAAGAAAACAGGGTCAATAGATATAAATTTCTATTCAGCTGAGAATTTTGCTACGGTTGATGATCATCAACTTCTCTCGCCGGAATTAATGGACTTTTAAAGTTTAAATTTTTTATACGGGATTGTATTTGTATGCTGTTAATTACACAAATTAATGTTTTAAGTCAATTTTCTGTAGCAATACGGCCAATTTTGAACGAATCTAGGCTATGCTCAAAGTTAGTTTATCAAAAATCCATATTTTCTTGTATTGTTGGGGTGGGTGGGGGTGGGTGGGGGGGGGGGGGGGGTTGATTCAAATTGACTTTAATTCTTGTGATGTGAATTACTTTGATTTAAACGGAGGATTTAAACTCTGCTAATCTCTTGACATCACTTTTCAATATCAAAGTCGATATCGCTTCATTTCGACTTTCGTTTTTGCAGAGAGTAATTTGCCTTACTTTTAGCAAAATGAAATAAATAACTTAAAATCAAAAGCGGAAACGCGGAAACGCAAAAATTGAATCTGAGCGGAAAGAACTAGTCAGCCTGCTTCCTGAAAACAAAAAAAAAACACGTCTGAAACAGCACTTTTCACCCTTTCCATTAAAACTTAACAAGCTAGTATTTTTTATGGTACTGTAAAAAACGCTCATAATAGTAAAATTTTGAAACCTGGGTGTAATTTCTTCGTGTGCCGATTGAGCTGGCTGCTCTGGTTGAATGTGACACGACACACTTTGCACTCGAATGGTTTCTCCCCACTGTGTATTCGCTCGTGGATTGTCAGCTGATTCGGTCTGGCAAACGCCTTCCCACACACTCCACATTCGTGGACACGTTGACCTACCAACAATGATAATAGATGTCACCACTTTAGGAAACTTAAGTAACAGGCCTATACAATTCAATTGAGCCCTGCTTATATTTGGACTTTTTCAAAAGCTAACCGTACACCCAATACAAAAGAAAAAAATCGAGTATGCCTTTAGATATAGATTTTCGACAACTGAGAACTTCGTCAATCCCATCCAAATATTCAGCTTTTTCATAATCATAATAGCCACAGAATGGTTTTACTATCAATATCGCATCGCAGTTAGGGACAGGAATAATGTCGCATTAAAGAGAAAAATAGCCAAATGGAGAAAGGAAATGCAGGAAAAACTGAAAGATCTCCCTCCCCCCCCCCCCCCCCCTAAATCAGGGAGATTGTTCACTTGATTAAAAGTAAGCAACCACTCAAATTTGAGCATAATACATGCAGGGATTGCGACTTGAATTTGCTATTTAATTTTAGGGAGGGGGGAGGGAGATTGTTCACTTGGTCAATACATGGGTCAAATTGTTCAGATGGGGGGATGCATACCAGTATGTATGACAAGATGGCGTCTGAGTGTGCTGTTCTGAGTGAAGGTGAGGTTGCAGTAGTCACACCTGTATGGTCTCTCTCCAGTGTGAATTCTCACATGTTCATCCAGATTACTCTTCAGTCTGAACTGCTTGCCACAGTAGTGACAGTTGAACTCCCTAGATCTCGCATGCATCAGCATGTGGCGCTTCAGATAGTTCTAAACACCCACCCCATTACCCTTTTTAAACCGGTACAACGTAAGGCTTCGTTCTCATTTTGCCTTAAAGCGATACATTTACGTTTGCCATGTGTCGAGTATCTTATTTTGAGTATCTTAGTTTTTATTAATAACTTATTTACCCGCTATTTAAAATTAGTCATTATACAAGAAGTCAAAACTCTAGGATCACCTGAAAAGGAAATTCGTAACCTGCTAATTAACATAGTGAAAAAACAAAGCAAAAAGCGATTTGTTTCACTGGTAATCAACAGAAAGCTGGAAAAATTTCATGAACACAGAACAGAATACATTTTCACTTTTTGTTTTCAAATTAATAAACGATTTCGTGAAACAATGATCAAGCTGAATGACAATGATAATTTCGTGAAAAATGATAAACTGTTCTTTCTAACTTTTAAGCTTTTTGAAGCAATCAAGTAGACTATTATGGAACAACTATTGTTAAACAATACATATATATAATCAAAACTTACTTCCAGTTTGAATTGGCGAAGACACACTGGACATGTGAAAGAAGTCTCATTTTCGTGCAACTTGACATGCACTTGAAAACTGGCTGCTGTTGTGAAGGTTCGATTGCACAAATTACACGTGCGATTCGACCATTTCTTCCCTCGTTGCTGCTTCGAGTTCGGGTTTGAGAAGAACACGTCATCTACAGACAGACCCATCATGTGAACTCTATTCACGTGGTCTGTACATTGAGCACTTGATGGGAACATCATGTTGCAGATCTTGCACTGATACTGTTCATGTTTGGCTGCGTGAACTGTTAGTTCAGATGTGGTGGCGAAACTCTCGTTACAGATTCGACAAGCGAAGGGCTTCTCACATTCGTGTACTTTTTCGTGTTCTTTCAGGTGCGTTTCAGTTGCGAAGTGCACAAGACATGTTTTACAATGTATGGAGCTGTTTGAAGGAAGACGATGAATATTCTAAAATTAAACCAAATTCTCAATAAGAGGTTCATATGTTCATGGACAGACCGACCCATCATGTGAACTTTATGTTCAAGAGGCACAAGCGGGAGCGCGCGCTCCGGCTGTGCGGAAAAACATGGACAGGGTTTATCAGAAAAGGTATTTATTTAAGATGGAAACATCAAAAAGCACAATCTCCTGATGAACGACAGAGCGGCGAGGGTGCAGCCAACCCAAGCATCTCTCCAAAAAAAATTCAGAAGGCGAGAACCTTCCAAAGTTCGACACAATCGACAGTGGCAATACGGGTTTTTAACCGTCAGGTCAACAAAGCCAGTCTTCCTGATCTGCGTGCTAATGAGAGCTGGAGATGTTGAACGGAACCCGGGTCCGATCAGCTTTTGCGGGGCATGCAAAAAAAATCTCTCTGCACTTGGTGCAGTAAGTGGTCGGTCGTCTGTGAGGGAAAGGGCTCTTTTCCAGTTCCTCCTTTCAAAATACCGAGTTTTATGTTTGATTTGTGTGTTATTACGGCTAAATGCGCGATGTTACGCTGTAAAGTATGAAGAACAAATCTGTTTAGAATTGACGATTTGTTCACCACGCCAAATTTCATTGCATTACGACAACGTTAAATAGACTTTTCAAAATTGAATTTGAAAGGGGGCTGGAAAAGAGCCAGGGAAAGTTGTTCTTCCGCTTGGCAAATCGTAGATGTGGTATTGGCTCGGCGAAGACGAGGGAAGATTTGCCAACCGACCACGCCTGCCACGAGCTACAAACAAATAATGAAGAAAGACGAACGATCCAAAAATCACCGAGTAACCACCTGAAAACCGCTTAAACAACCCTTGACATAACAGAAGAAGAAATCACCAGAGAGAACCTACACAAAGTCTACGTTATTAATACCCTCGAAAATCTACAACCGAATAGAGTTCTCAACACCCAACTCCTAATAAATCAAGACAAGATCGACGCAATAGAGAAAACATTAACGAGACAACAAGTCCGGCTCGCCCAGATGAGGAGCGGTTTCTGTTCTCAACTGAATGACTATCTTCACCGAATCAACGCATCCGAAACAGACATATGTCGATTCTGTAAGAAAAGAGAGAATGTGGTACACGTGCTAGCCTGCCTCGCCAACCTAGCTCCAGAAACTCTGTGGACTGACCTAAGAAAAGTCGCAACCGAAACTGACGGGCTGTGAGGGCCTACACAACAATAAAAAGTCGGTCGGTTCACCAAAAATGTATCAGGCTGACAACCAAGGAAATCAGGGACCTCAGCAAACAAATCAGATACGCAAAATGAGTGCAAGAACTGTTGAAACACTACCGCCTGTCTCAATCTCGAACAGGAGTCTGATGTGGATATGTCGAATTGGGAACGCGCGAGGTACGCCCGCCTCGGACCCTCCCAAGACAACGGAATCACCTAAAGGATTTCATCTCATGGTAAAAAGACAAAATAAGGGAAACAAGAGGATTGAAAAGGTTCATAGAGAAAACCGCAGGCAAAAACGCATGGATCGCAAAGTCAAAGCTCCGAAGTCTACAATGGACGAGCAAATCATAATAACTTGGAACTACAAGGAGTTTCAGTGCAAGAGAAAAACATAGCGAGATTAAAAAAAACCGCAGCGCAAAGACTGACTAACATGTCCTGGGATGTTGAACTGGTGTCGGAATTTCGATCCGAGCCATATGGCGTTATTTTGATTAGAGAAGGCAATAAAGAAATTGTCCTTGTTCACTCAGAAAAAGCGATATCATGTTGACGGGAACCGTAATAAAGAAAAATACCGCCATGACTGGAAAAGAAAATTGCCAAAAGTAATTCAGAAGAACTACTCTTAATAGAGGGCAATCACAAGGTGCATATTGGTAGTGGCCTGGCAGACACCGGGTTCACGCGTATCTTTGGGATGAGAACCCCGACCAGTAAAAATGTAGAAGATTTGGTGTTTGCGGCACACTCACGAAATGCAGCGGGTACACTCGCTCTTTAACATGACGAATAGAGGAACATGGTTCAACAATAGTCTCAGATCTTGGCATCAAATTGACGGGTTCATAATAAAAGCAAAACAACGCCGTAAGTCTGTACGAGATATGGCAGTAAATCAAGATATGACTGTATCGGACTATAAACCAGTAGCCCTGAAACTAACCTGCAGACCCTGCCCCAAAAAGCGGCGAACACGAAAGCTGCCACGTATAAACTGGGAAGTGTTAAATAAACCAGTTTGGAAGTAGGAAAAAATCGCAGAAACTCTGGTTAGTTGCTAAGGAAGTTTGCGTGACCACCCAAAACCGAAGTAGCCAATCCCTGGACAAAAGGGCAGGAGGATACACTCGAAGCACTACATAACACAATATCTAGCCAAGTCATCGAACGAAACAATACAGGAAAAAAAAACGAGGGACGTTGAAACAATTAGATGAACCTCAAAATTTCCAGAAAAACCATGAGGAAGGATTTTAAATTACTTGAAAAAAGTGGTGAAAATCTCATAAAGCAGTGCAGAGTTGCCGCAAACAATTACCGGAGATGAACTACCAGGACAACAATTACTGGTTAAACGAGTTAAAAAGCTTTCAAAAGACCGGTTTCAATGAAATCCTGCGGATCTTTTGGCTGCTGTGGCAGAAATGAAAGATCTAAGAGGATCGAGTATTGATGCATCAGCAAACCGCCATTTGAACATATCTCCAACCCCAAACAAAATCAACAATTGCTTTGAATCTGCTCAAGATTCCGACCTAGCTTAAGACGGAGACGGAGTCTGCTTCACAACAGCCTGTCACGGTGTAACGAGAAAAGTTGTCTCTCTTATACGAAGCTTGAATGAACACAGAGCAGATAAATAGAAACCTGTAACAAAAACTGGACACATAGTACCTACCGCTCATTAAAAAGGATGACAAGAACGAAGTAAACAACTATCGAGGTGTGTGTCTTCTTTCAATGGCAAGTCGCATACTAGCACGCCTCCTCACAGACCGTCTCAAGGTTTGGGCGGAAAACTTCGGCCTCCTGTTCAAAAATCGAAATTGATTTAGAGCTAACAGATCCACAGCGGACGCCACGCAAATCATAACACTTATTCAAGAGGAGACCCATGAATTGAGAACATGTAGAAAAGCAAACTGATCCGAACGACCCTAAGTGGCGGTTTCTGGATCTCGGAAAAGCCTACTCAAGGATAAACAAAATGGCATTATGGAAAAAACTTCGCCGATGTGGTATGGAGAGAAGTTTTCCTATCAAACCGTATGGATCTTCATGATTCAACATCATGCTGTGTTGAGCCCACAGACGGAGACAGCAACGAAAGGCAACCGGCAAGATGAGAAAGCGATGGATACTCAACTTCACCCAGTCTTTTCAATACTTCCATCAAGTTGTGAGACGGCAAGCGGAAAAGCACCGCTTGAAAACAACTGAAAGATCTATCATGCCAGTATGAGTAAAATGGATTTAGCTCCCTGGATGACATTACGGACATGAACAAAGGAGCAAAATAAGAAGGCAAAATAATGACGATACAGATGTTATGGTATTTTTAAAAAATCATCGTACAATTTAAGTTTTCTGGCAGTTGGATCCAAAGCGGACATTCAAACCGCAGAAAACGTGCTGGAAGAAACAGCAAGCGACAGCAATTGCTGCTTGTGTCGAAAGTGCGTTTCTTTTTGATGCGGCGGCTCGCATTTGGTACGATAAAGGAATCAGAAATTTTCAAACATGAATTGACCGTTGCTATCGACTCATCTGTGCAATAAAAAGCAGCCCCTTTAAAAGAGATGCAACCGAAACAAATTAACATGTACGACATAACACACGAGATGGGAATCAAATCCTTACGATGGAAAACTGGAAAAAATATTAGAAATATTTTGGCTAGTCCTCCGAAGGCCTGATGATATACCTACCAAAATAGCCGTTCTTAGGTGGTTGGAGCAGCTGAAGTCACTTCCAAAACCGATAGGAAAAAAGGAGTAAGAGGTTGAATACTGGAAAAAAACTACATTCAGAGGCGGGCTTGGATTGCAGACATGTGCAGAGAAGAAGCGGTGAACAGAAAAGAATGGAAAAGGATAATGAAGGAACGGACAGAGCATTTAATAACGCTTGCAAATCGCAAGCGTAACACAGTGTCAGGATCAAAAAAGGAAGAACTTTTTGACTGTAAAGACGAAAACTTAGATATTATTTCAACTACACAAACCAAGCCGGAAATAAAAATGACCTGTCTGTGGTAAGGAGTGCAAGTCCATGAAATGACTGAAAATCCATACAAAACGAAAACACGTGAAATCATTGAAAACCTTCCCATGTCTTACGTGCGAAAAAGTATGCACTACGGAGCGCGCACTCAGAAACCACGATAAATTACACGACAGCAAAACAAAATCACCGAAGGTTTATAAAGCCAAAACCGCCAATTGCCCGTATTGCAACGAAAAGAAGTCGACAACAAATATAATCCGCCACAAGAGAGCGTGTCGAACAAGAGAAGAGTGCGTACCACACGAGTAGAAGAAAGCAAACTCAGAAGAAACCAGACTCTAAAGTCAGATCTAATCTACTCGGCAAGCTTCGTGAAATCTGCCATATTTTAGTTTAATTGGGAAAAGTTCTTCCTCTAAACAGCCTTCTTCCTTTTTAATTTCAATTCAGTTTCAAAGAAAAAATATATCAGCTTAAAGTTCTTTGAATTTCAAAAACCTTTTAAGATTGGTACTTTTTAGATGAAACTAACCCGATTGGACAAAGGGCTCGAAAGATAGTTTTTTTTTTCAGACCGCTGAGAATTCTGAAAATATAGCCAGCAGACAGTTGGAGCAAAGTCAATGAACCCAAGAAAGCCGAAAACGACTATTTTTTTGAACATTTTCATATTTCGAATTTCCAAGAAAGTATACCAAAATAAGATCTTTAATTTTTCAAGCTTATGATAAAGACTTTTTGTTTAAAAAAAAACAAAATTGAGATTAATGGATCATTATGTATTCCGTTGAGAAATCTTCAAATTACAATTTACTTTCAAAATTGAAAGGCATTCACGTTTCTATGCGCCTTTTCCTTTTCCGTAATCGAAGAGCTTCATTTGCCTACTTTTAAGCATATGAATTTAATTAAAGTCAAAACACGAAAACTTATTTGAACATCAACAACTTTTAGGACTTTTCCTGAAAAAAAAAGGAAAAACATCAACACGACTTAAACAAATGTCTTCACTCCGTTCTTTTACGGTTAATTAATCACTAGTTTGATTAATTAAATTTTTTTCATTGTGAGCATGCCATAAATTACCGATAACAAAATCAGTTTAGTAAGAATATCACAATTTTAATTACAAAATACCCTTTTGTTCTTTTCACTGAGAATAAAAATTCTAGCAGGCTTGCACAAACACCATTAAGCTTCTCTTACAACCAAACAAAAGCATTTAAATAATCTGGTACATTTGTTAAACTATAATTCAAATGTACCCCTTCATAGTCCTTCTGAACCTGCTTATCGTACATTGCTATGAGTTTTTAACTTTCCATTCATCGTAGGTTATTAACTTTTACGAAGGTAAGTATATTAAAGACTAACTTTATGATTTACCAGAGACTGTTGATTAAGAAAGACCTCGCCACAAATATCACATCTGTGCTCTTCTTCTTGACTTAGCTCCCATTTTTCACTGTTCGTATTGTAATCAGATGAGTAAATGGATGACCCAAACGCATCTTTGGCGCACGGTTCGCAGATCACGCCTGATGGCTTATGCTGACCATTCGAGGAATATTCCGGCGGAATGGAATCTAATGTTTTACCACAAATCTCACACACCGCCTTCTGAAAAACATAGCCAACAGAAAGTTGAAAAATAGTCAATAGGCGCAAGGAAATAAAAAAACTGACATGCCATATGGGTACAATTGGTCCCTAAAACATTCAGTTCCCTAATCGAAAACAAATCTAGATCTCAAAAATTGTAAATAAGTAGGAAGGTGACAATTCAGGAGCACGTCCCAGTATATTTTCAAAAAAGTTTGTTTCTGTAGCAAATCATTTGTGAAAACTCTCCCGTTACCATGTGAAGGTTGAAAGATTTAAAAGTTTAAGCAAATTTGAGCTTTGAGTATTAATAATTCACCCAATTGATGATTCCGAAATCATTAAGTTATTTGAAACGAGTAAACTGCTTCATATACACATTATAATGAAAAACCACAGCATAAATTTCTAACTCGTTTTTGTAAAGCGTAAATAATACATTCTTTTGATTTCAAGTTAATACATCTCCTATCATTTCAACATCTCCCACTCTTGTTGTTTCTATATCTGTAAATTTTGTCGCTCATAAGTCTTTTTTCTTATTGTTTCAATTGTCAAGTAGTATTTTCATTTAATGTGACTCCACGCATATGGAATTAAGTATTTTATTACTACTACTACTACTACTAATACATACAAAATTATTGCGACCTGTTTATCATAGTAGCCTTTTCTACTGACCTGTCTATTAAAATAGTACCATTTTGTGTTCCAAACCGACCTCGTATAGATTCACAACAATTCAATTTTTGTATTAAAACATTGCAGCTTCATTTTTTTTGTCAGAGAGAGGTTCGGAAAAAACCTATGCGGTTACATGTTACAAACCAGAAAGAATTGAGCGCTTAACTTACAGATTCAGTGAAGTGGTGCGGAAACAGTTGAACGTCATCCGAAGAGCATATTACTTCTTCGATGACGTCGCAAATTTCCTCTCGCGTACAGCTAACAGATGTCGACAAAGGATTATGCAAAACACCATCTGCTTGGGCGAACTGATTTTCAAGAACTGTATAAGTGCTGTCATTTTCAAAGGTCAATGAAGCAAAAGTAGGCGCGATTATATCCAAGTCGACAATTTCTGAGTCCACGTGAAACGCTAGTTGTTTGCATTGTCTTTCGTCAGCTGACCCTTGTGATAGCTCAATGTTAGACATTTCTGTAAAAGAGCAGAAAAAAGTCTCATTCAATAACACGAGCTCCCTAAGGGAAAGGTCAAGTCAAAAGGGCCCCTCGGTCAAACGACGTTCCGTGCACAGGTTGCATAGGGCCATACAAACGCTAAATGAATGCATCAGTGACCAATTTGACAATATTCGGTCAAAATTTTGTAACATTCGCCCGGAAGATACATATCGACGGAAAATAAAACTATGTCCTAAGACGACTGGCTAACGTCTAAACAGAGCTTTACATGCTTTTCACCGTCTCTACCAAGCCAGTACTTTCGGTGGTCTTTCTATTATCGGGTCGACAAAAAACGTTACTGCTTTCGGCTTCGGTCAAAACACTCAAATAAACTTAATTACATGCAGAAATAGTGAGCTCATGGCTGGGTCTCAGTATCCCCAGACCACGAGGTCACTCCTAAAAACAGGGCTACTACTACTTATTAAATTATTATTGTTTTTGTTCAGTAGATAAAAATCATCATCTCCATCGAAGATGGATCAACCCTTTCCCCCAACTCCTAGCTTCTCATCTTAGTAGAATGAATTCGGATGTTAATTAAATTCAATTCAGGACATGACAGGGAAGCTAAAAATTCATATAAAATGATAAAAGTTTCAGTCCCGAAACCCCTCCGGATTCTCGAATCCACTGAATCAAGCACGTTAAGCTTGATTTCTCTGTAATCCGGAAGGCTGGTTTCCACCCTTCACTGTTGTTAGCAACTGCTTTGCAACTATTGTAGCGACACAATAGTTGCAACTTGGAGCGGTCTCTGCTACTTCTGCTTTTCTCTGATTCTGGTTCTCAATTTTCTCGCTGTTGTCGTCGTCGCAACTATCGTTGTTGTGGTAGTTTTCAGCTTTTTTGCCAAAATGGCCGTTTTTGACGTTTCTGAGAATTGTTACGTCATCACTTCGAAAATTTAAAATTTAGGAATTTCCGAATCCTTCAGCCTTCATGATTTGTCCAATCGCTCGAATAACGTCCTTATTCCTTCCAAATCGCCAATTCGGAAGGTTCGCTGCTAAAAACTCCGAGACTGCAGAGATTGTTTTCTGTCCATTCTGGTCGAATGTCACATACTCCCCGGACAGTCCGGTCAATGTCCTCATTGAATCTCGCAATGTTCGTAAAATAGGTACAGTGTCATCGAACAGAATTTACAAAATGCACGAAATTACTTTTATCCACGTCACATCGACTCACTGCAGAATATAAATGGCATCATACCACATCGCTATAGCCTTCAAATTCTTTCATTAATCTGCACATTGAGGATATGACCTAAGATAAAACATGTTTTCCGACTTCCAATGTCAATATCCTGATTTAAAACTTTTTCTCCTAGATTTAAAAGGTGTTGGTTTGCAGGACAGTCCTGCCAACCAACAAGCTAAAATTATCCTACTACACTTCTTCCCTTCGGAAATCTTGCTTGTTATTGTCCTGAATATTAAAACTAAGAAACTCTGTGGTTAGAAAGAACAATGAAACAATCTCCCTCTTCGAGAGATTACCCAAGCCTTTCATGTCACCACAAAGTGATCAGTTCTCCTAGCTGATTAAAAACAGTCATGTAGGCTGGAATATTTAAATATACTCCTTCACTCAAGCCTTTCTAAATATATAGTAAGTAAGTGTCTCTAAAGCCACTCAACTAAAATCAAAATCCAAATTTATAAATGCAACAATTTCAAAACTCAACTAAATGTTTCAAGTTTCAATTACAACTTGGTTGCTTGGTTTCTCACTTGAGTTTTTTCACACACATAAAACAATTCTGAGTTTTAACTTTTTCTTCATCACTCCTTTGTTTTCTTCTTTTTTCGTCGTTTAGAAGTTCTAAAAATTCTAAATTCTTCTAATTTCGTCTCTTTTTGCATCTCGTTTTTCGGCCATTCGTCAATGTTCCATTTCTTCCTCCCGTGATATTGACTCTGCACTCTCAGTTTCCGTATCCTGCAACACGTCGTTAGCTATCCTGACGCTGTTGGAAGCCGTCCTCCAACACTTCTGCTCTTCTACCCTCTGTTTGCAACAAGGTAGGTGATCCACGTTAGATTCTCTGTTCCTGCAGAAGCTGTTGTGGAGACACAACGTCACATTTCTCTCCAAATCTTCCTTTAACATCTCTGCCTTCTCCTTTCCACTACGTTCACTTGTCCTGGAAATTCTTTTCACAGCGGTGGTCACTGCATTCCGATGAGTCACGAGAGCTCGCTTGAAAGCTCCTGCTCCAATGTCCAGCTGATATTCACTGTACACTCTGCCGTGCTTCGACATATGCTTTTTAGCATACTCGTACAACCATGCAGTCATGTTAGCTCTGAACCATGGCATCAATCGTTTTCTTGCCCATATCTTCTTCACTTCTATCGGAATGTTTAGAATTTTGCACATTGTCTCAAAAAGATCTAAATCTTTTAGACAATCTAATTTTTGCAACTGTTCTCTCGTCGGTGCCTCCTGTCTATTATTTTCTCTCACATGAGCTTCCAGCCATCGTATCGCCATCATAACTCCCACTATCACTATTGTTATGGGCTGTGATGAGTCTGGTAAACCCATGGAGAGCAGCTCTCCAGAGTCCCAGATCAACATCAGATTACTACGCTTGGGATACCACCAGGTCTGCAGCAAGCAGTGGCAAGGAAACTCGTCATGTGTCAACATGATGCTCCTCCAATTACGTTTTCCCGAAGCTTCCAGTAATGGTTCCACTTCCATCATCACTCGGTGGACTTTATCATTCTCGTCTACTGTATTGTAATCTGTGACAGTTGATCCTCTCTGTTTCTGTCTCTCGAAGTCACTGAAGTTCCCGCTAACGTATCCCATGAACTTCTTTCCTAGTATTGATTCCAACTCGTCCTTGGTTCTCTCTGGAACTGCTGAGAACATCTTACATAGCAACTCGTAAGACCTCTCGGACATTCTCGCCAGTCTCACACACTTCGGCACTGAGAAGGCTTGATCCGCGATCGTTCTCGTACTCTTTACATCCACGGCTACGAAATGTACCGGGTATCTGCTCTTGCACATTGGAGGCAATATCGAACCCACCAAATATCGTGGTCCTGATGGTCTACAATAAATCTCACTGTGTCTGATGTTCATTTCCGTCTCGATTGCTTCCCTCCATTTTCCTATGTACTTCTGCTCAGTCTGCAGAACTCCTGGGAATACCTCTACACTAATGGCTGTGACCATCTGATGTTGCTGTTCTAGATTCAAGAGTGACTCTAAAGAACCAAACATTGTAGAATCCTAGTGCAGTCACTAGATTCACCTCGGTTCCTCCATGGCAATCTGCTAGCAGTTCCGTTTCTGTTCTTGCTTTCATCACTACGTTTCCAAACAATACCGTCAATTGCTTGTGTTGTTTCTCTAGGGTCTTCACACAGTCCAGACCTCCACAAACGTGACCTTCCAGTCCACAGACTTCCACCAGGCAGCTACCAGGTTTGACCCAGTCTTCTGGTCCCCAGCCAGGCAACTCCACTTTCTCTTCTCCGTTGCTCCTAGAGGCCGTTATCATCACATTATATATGATGTTAAGGTCACGCAGGTTACAGTCTGCATTCAGTTCCCTCTGCACGTCTTGTGTCGCCCGTAATATTGAGTCAGCGTTGGGACTAGGACACCATGATGGCCTCATCAATTCCCACACTGCCATCAAGCTCGTTCTCAGTAATTCATCTGAGAATCCCAACCCAAACTCCACTCTTTTGTCGGATTTTGGTACGGAAGGTGCAGTCACCTTTTCTTCCAAGACCAGTCCCATTTTGTCCTGTGGATTGTTAACGCTCTTAATCTTTACAATTCTGGACGTCCAGAACCTTAGTAACACCGCCTGCTTGTAGTCGAAGAAGCAATCGCGTATGTCTTCACTCAGGAAAGGGTTGTACGATATCCCTATGATTCCGAATACGTAGCTATACGATTTCTTCTTGATCGGTCCACAGTATTCACTGGACTTCGGCAGTGCCCCCATAGATTCTTTAGCGAGTCTCAGCTCCTTGTTTGAGGATCTCCTGATTTCGTCTATCTTCCTCATGGGTTCTAATTCCTCGGGTTCTTTCATGTTCACCCTCATCGGTTTGCTTTGCTGCATATCCAGCAGTGCTAGCAAGAGTAAGGCTTTCGCTCGCTCATCGCCTTCCCTCAGCATCTTAACACAAGTGTTCAATGCAGGTACTGAAATCTGCTCTATCATGAATCGAATGAAACAGAGAGCGTCTCTCCGTTTCGCACACGCTACTGCTGCTCTCTCTTGGACTATCAGATCCCTCAGGTTCGTCATAAGGAAAACCTTCTCTTCTTTTGACCTCTTCCTTTCTTCTGAATCATATTCTTCGCGAGTTAGTCCCATCATGCACCAGGCGAACCTGAGTTGTAACTCTGTTCTTACGTAAGGTACTGCCACGAGAGCATGTATTCTTGGCGTAGTACTCATCTCTTCTACGAAAGTACCTTAATACCACTGCTTTCCATGGAAGGCTCACCAATTGCTCCAACGTTTCTGTCTGTATCTCAGACGACGCTAAAGTCCCGTACGCCTTCTGCTTGAGGGTGGTGCCTTGCAACATTCTTTCCAGATAACCATCCATGGCCTTTTCGTCTTCCAGGGCCATCACATACCCTCTAGCCGAGTTTCCGTACTCTAACATCTCCATGTATTCACCGGTGGGTTCATCTATTGACACAGTCTCCGACACTGTTAGTCGGTTATATTCCACTGTTACTAGTTGTCCTGCGACACTTCCCTTTCCGTGATTCATGGGAGATGGCTTAAAGTCTTTCATTATGCTCTCTCCACATTGGCTGAGTATTTCCATTTCTAAGGTTGCTCCAGTCAGAGTGCGGTCACTCCTTTTGGATTTATAACCTGTTGAATTTATCCCCGCCATGAGAATGGGTGGCACCATCGCTGTATCAGTTAACATTTTATCTGTGCCAGGCAATTGATAATCACCTTGCCCCAAATCCATGACCTCCTCGACTCGT